GCTAAAGGCATCCTCTAAATCATCCTAAAATTTCATCAATTTTGAAGGTGCCCAACGGGGTCAAATTCACCCCTAAAGTCCCATCCGCGGTTTATAATACTGATTTTTTTTCTCGAAAACCGTTAGGGCTTACGGTGTTTTGAAAATTGATAAAAATACTTAGAAGTGTGTTCTATTATGTGGTAGAATTTCGTTTAATTCGAAGGTGCCCATCAGGGCGAAAACATCCCTTTTTCGGGGGTGAGGGTTGAAAAATTTTTTTTTTACCAAATGGGGGTGGTTAGCTGTTCTTGAGGGTAAGAGTGACCTGTGTGTGAAATTTGGTTACCCAAATCGTATTGGTTACGGAATTATTAATGTTTTAAGTTTATGGCTGGGATTTATGGATAACTTCACACCAGTAAATAAATGTTGTGTTAGATGTAGGTATTTACCTTTTCATAAAGGTCAACTGATGTCAATAATTCAGCTTTAACCTTTCTTAATTGTTCATATAATAAACAAATTCTAGGTTGGACCATTTGATGCATTTGAATATATCTCCTACATTCCAACATATTCATACAGTGGCCACAAATTCGTAAACTATCTGATTCATTTTTACTGCTTTTTAGGCTTATATTGGTTTCTTCTGTGTATTTTGGTGTAACTATTGTACCTAAAGCGGTTATATTATTGTTTATTTGATTATATTTTAATGTATTTTTTGTAATATTTACGTGCTATGTCATATGCTAAAAATTCAGAACAATTGTTGCACATAATACTTCCACAAAGTCGACAATGATGTTGTCTTTTAGCTAAATTAAAGTTAGCAGCACAGGATGGGCATCTAGAAACAGTGGTTCCATCTAACCAAGCAACTAAGCGCTGCTCCTGCTGTTTGCGATCAGATCCTTGTACTTTTAATAATTTATCTAGTCTTAAAATCAACCTATTTGTTTCTGTTGTTCTATGATCTAGGCGTTCTCTTCTGACTGCTTTAAAAAAATCGGTATGATCGGTAATTGTACTAACCTCTTGGGGCTTGCTCTCTTCCAAGTAATAACGTTCTTGTTGTGGTTTTTCTATATCTTGTTCGTCAAAGCTCAAAATTTTCTTTTTAGCTTTACTAACTAAATCTACAATAAACGTTAATCATTAATAATTATACTCATTATTTAAATATAATCATAAACCTTACCTTTTAATGATTTTAGTAAGTCTTGTTCTTCGGAATGTTTCTCTTGAAAATGTCCAAGTAAATGATTTGCCGATTGACACGTTTTATGGCATGTAGGGCAAATAAAGCCCTCTTTTATTTTGTGGTCCCCATTTGATTCAGCCATAATTAATAAGCAGTTTGTGAAAAATATACTTTTATTAAGTGTGGTTAAGTTTTCTTTTAAGTTAAAGTTATATTTGGATAGAGTTGTATAGGATAATACCACCAGGGGCGGAGTAAATGCGTTATCACATTATTTTTTAATTAAATCATTGTTGATTATTTTAATTTTAATTAATCGAAACGACAACATTCACAACTTAATAATATTGCGTTTATAGGCAACTTACCTTGTTCGTGTGTATAAGAAGTTGCCAGTTTTTAAAAATATTAATCAATGGTAGTCATTTAATAATTAATGTCAAATAATTTTAAAAACTAAAAGATTTTTTAGAAAACGGTATTTTTCATTGAAAAGCTTATAATTTGATTAATAAACTCTGATAGTTTCAAAACAATTTATTACAATTTTTTTACCCAAATTAATCCATAGAAGTGAGAATAACACAGATTGATGTTTAAGAGTTGATATCTCAAGAACTAAAAGATATTTTAATAAACGGTCTTTTTCGTTGAAAAGCTTATAATTTTGTTAATAAACGCTGATAGTTTCAAAACGATTTCTTAATATTCCGATTTATTACGATTTTTTAAAGTTGACCCAAATTAAGTCATAGAAGTGAGTATAATACAGATTGATGTTTAAGAGTTGATATCTCAAGAACTAAAAGATATTTTAGAAAACGGTCTTTTTCGTTGAAAAGCTTTAAAATTTATTAANCCTTATAATTTTATTAATAAACGCCGATACTTTCAAAACGATTTGTTAATATTCCGATTTATTACAATTTTATGAAGTTGACCTAAATTAATCCATAGAAGTAAGAATAAAACAGATTAATGTTTAAGAGTTGATATCTCAAGAACTAAAAGATATTTTAATAAACGGTCTTGTTAGTTGAAAACCTTATAATTTTATTAATAAACGCCGATACTTTCAAAACGATTTGTTAATATTCCGATTTATTACAATTTTATGAAGTTGACCTAAATTAATCCATAGAAGTAAGAATAAAACAGATTAATGTTTAAGAGTTGATATCTCAAGAACTAAAAGATATTTTAATAAACGGTCTTGTTAGTTGAAAACCTTATAATTTTATTAATAAACGCCGATACTTTCAAAACGATTTGTTAATATTCCGATTTATTACAATTTTATGAAGTTGACCTAAATTAATCCATAGAAGTAAGAATAAAACAGATTAATGTTTAAGAGTTGATATCTCAAGAACTAAAAGATATTTTAATAAACGGTCTTTTTCGTTGAAAAGCTTATAGTTGTATTAATAAACACTGATAGTTTCAAAACGATTTTTATTAACATTCCTATTTATTATTATTGTTTAAAAATATTCCAAGTTAATTCATAGAAATGAAAATAAAACGGATTAGTATTTAACAGTTGATATCTCAAGAACGACAAGATAGTTTAGATAACGGTTTTTTTCGTTGAAAACGTTATAATTTTATTAATAAACGCTGATAGTTTCAAAACGATCTGTCAATATTCCGATTTATTACGATTTTTTGAAGTTGACCTAAATTAATCCATAGAAATGAGAATAAAACAGATTGATGTTTAAGAGTTGATATCTCAAGAACTAAAAGATATTTTAGAAAACGGCGTTATTCGTTGAAAAGCTTATAATTTGATTAATAAACGCTGATAGTTTCAAAACGTTTTCTTAATATTCCGATTTATTACGATTTTTTGAAGCTGGCCCAAATTAATCCATAGAAGTAAGAATAAAACAGATTAATGTTTAAGAGTTGATATCTCAAGAACTAAAAGATATTTTAGAAAACGGCGTTATTCGTTGAAAAGCTTATAATTTGATTAATAAACGCTGATAGTTTCAAAACGACTTCTTAATATTCCGATTTATTACGATTTTTTGAAGTTGACCCAAATTAATTCATAGAAGTGAGAATAATACAGATTGATGTTTAAGAGTTGATATCTCAAGAACTAAAAGATATTTTAATAAACGGTATTTTCAGTTGAAAACCTTATAATTTTATTAATAAACGCTGATAGTTTCAAAACGATTTGTTAATATTCCGGTTTATTACAATTTTTTGAAGTTGACCCAAATTAATCCATAGAAGTAAGAATAAAACAGATTGATGTTTAAGAGTTGATATCTCAAGAACTAAAAGATATTTTAGAAAACGGCGTTATTCATTGAAAAGCTTATAATTTGATTAATAAACACTGATAGTTTCAAAACGATTTCTTAATATTCCGATTTATTACAATTTTTTGAAGTTTACCCAAATTAATTCATAGAAGTAAGAATAAAACAGATTGATGTTTAAGAATTGATATCTCAACAACTAAAAGATATTTTAATAAACGGTCCTTTTCGTTGAAAAGCTTACAATTGTATTAATAAACACTGATAGTTTCAAAACGATTATTATTAACATTCCGATTTATTACTATTGTTTAAAAATATTCCAAGTTAATTCATAGAAATGAAAATAAAACGGATTAGTATTTAAGAGTTGATATCTCAAGAACTACAAGATAGTTTAGATAACGGTCTTTTTCATTGAAAATCTTATAATTTTATTAATAAACGCTGATAGTTTCAAAACGATCTGTCAATATTCCGATTTATTACGATTTTTTGAAGTTGACCTAAATTAATTCATAGAAGTGAGAATAAAACAGATTGATATTTAAGAGTTGATATCTCAAGAACTAAAAGATATTTTAGAAAACGGCGTTATTCGTTGAAAAGCTTATAATTGTATTAATAAACACTGATAGTTTCAAAACCATTTTTTTAACATTCCGATTTATTACTATTATTTAAAAATGTTCCAAGTTAATTCATAGAAATGAAAATAAAACGGATTAGTATTTAAGAGTTGATATTTCAAGAACTACAAGATAGTTTAGATAACGGTCTTTTTCGTTGAAAAGCTTATAATTTTATTAATAAACGCTGATGGTTTCAAAACGATTTGTCAATATTCCGATTTATTACGATTTTTTTAAGTTGACCCAAATTAATTCATAGAAGTGAGAATAATACAGATTGATGTTTAAGAGTTGATATCTCAAGAACTAAAAGATATTTTAGAAAACGGCGTTATTCGTTGACAAGCTTATAATTTGATTAATAAACGCTAATACTTTCAAAACGATTTCTTAATATTCCGATTTATTACGATTTTTTGAAGTTGATCCAATAATTCACAGAAGTGAGAATAATACAGATTGATGTTTAAGAGTTGATATCTCAAGAACTAAAAGATATTTTAGAAAACGGCGTTATTCGTTGAAAAGCTTATAATTTGATTAATNTGTTGTATTATTTATTTTAAAATATACCTTTGGTGATATTCTTTACATTTTTATTTTGTATTTATTTTAATAACTAATCTAATAGTAAATGATCAGATAATTGTGCAAATATTCTCATTATTAAAAATTTATTGGCACACTTAAACATTGTTTTGCATTCTACGTAAATTAAATGTTAAAATTTAAATTAGTGATATAAACATTTTTTGATCTATCCGAAAATATTAATCGCTTCAGGTTTGTTTTTCTTGGGAGACACTACGCCGACGTCTCAGTTACCGAGAATACCGAGCTCCACTATGTCTCGGGCAATGTTTGGGACGGAGCAATATTTGCGATGTTGCCGTATTTATACTCCGAAAGCAATCAAAACGGACTACACGTTTTAAACCCATTTTATTTAAATTTGCTGCATTTAATAAAAAAATTNAGAGTTGATATCTCAAGAACTAAAAGATATTTTAGAAAACGGCGTTATTCGTTGAAAAGCTTATAATTTGATTAATAAACGCTGATAGTTTCAAAACGATTTCTTAATATTCCGATTTATTACGATATTTTGCAGTTGACCCAAATTAATTCACAGAAGTGAGAATAATACAGATTGATATTTAAGAGTTGATATCTCAAGAACTAAAAGATATTTTAATAAACGGTCTTTTTCGTTGAAAAGCTTTAATTTTATTAATAAACGCTGATAGTTTTAAAACGATTTATTAACATTTCGATTTATTGCTATTGTTTAAAAATGTTCCAAGTTAATTCATAGAAATGAAAATAAAACGGATTAATATTTAAGAGTTGATATCTCAAGAACTACAAGATGGTTTGGAAAACGGTCCTTTTCGTTGAAAAGCTTATAATTTTATTAATAAACGCTGATGGTTTCAAAAGTATTTGTTAATATTCTGATTTACTACGATTTTCTGAAGTTGATCCAAATTAATCTATAGAAGTGAAAATAATACAGATTGATGTTTAAGAGTTGATCTCTCAAGAACTAAAAGATATTTTAATAAATGGTCTTTTTCGTTGAAAAGCTTATAATTTTATTAATAAACGCTGATACTTTCAAAACGATTTATTACTATTGTTTAAAAATGTTCCAAGTTAATTCATAGAAGTGAGAATAATACAGATTGATGTTTAAGAGTTGATATCTCAAGAACTAAAAGATATCTTTTTCGTTGAAAAGCTTATAATTTTATTAAAATTGCTTGTTTGAAGTTAACCCAAATTAATTCATAGAAGTGGGAATAAAACAGATTGATATTTAAGAATTGCTAGAATTGCTTTCAAAACGGTTTATTAATATTCAGATTTATTACGGCTTTTAAAAAAAGACATAATGATAGATTAATAATAACATAATGAACAAATTAAAAATTGTAAGCAAATGTCAATTTGAATAAATGTGTTAGGAACGGCACTATCTCTAAACCTGCAATTACCAAAACTTTACTATCCGGATTAGGTATTTACTTTTTTTGTATTAAATCCTTATAACATACCATTTGCTTCATACGCTCAAATATTTAAAAAAGATTTATAATAAAACTTTTTGAGGAATCTGTTCCAGAAATCTGTGTTACTGTCGATGGAGTTATAATCTTAGGCGATATTGATGGTAACCTTTTAGTCACTGGATCTTCTGCTGATGCCTTGATTTCTACTTTGCATGCTTTTGATTTACGGCAAATTGTTGACCAACCGACTCGGATTGCTGATTGCTCTGAAACCCTAATTGACGTTATTATTATACCTAAAGAGTTGCCTCTTGTTATTTGTGATACTGAGGATATTGTGGTCTCAGATCATTTTTTTATTGTCAATTGTTAATTCCTACAAGTGCTCAACCTGACGCCAAACTTATTAGCTTCCGTGATTTGCGTGCTATCGATATGAATAAATGGCTGTTTATGATTTTGAGGATATTAATGACAAGATCAACTGTTGATGTAGATCTATTGCTAAATTTATTTGACTTTCATGCACTTATTGTGACGGAAGTGCTGAAGAAAAGGGCTTTACCCTGGATTACATGGAATATTAAACAAATGATGAAATTAAACAATGATGCTTTTAACAAATATAAGAGAAACAGAAATCAGGGAACTTTTCAGTATTACAAATAATAATAATAATAATAATAAATGACTTTATTGTCTCCATTACAAAAAAGAAACTACAATACAAATATATACATAATGTATGGAGATCAAACGGCTGTGCAATTACGTTACAGGTGCCATTCGTCGGGAGAAAAAGCCTTTCTTTGAAAAAAAAACTTAGTTGTTGCTAATTCGAGAGACATATGTGCAAAAATTTTAAAAACTTTAATGTTTTGAAATCTTCCAGTTATAGCATGCCTCCACATTTGTCAGATTCCGATAGTGTTAACACATTTTTCAGTAACTGTATAAAAGATACCTTGGTTTCTCCCGACGTTGATCTTTTGGAGTATTACAATGGTAACAGAATACGTCCTGACTCACCGACAATTGGATTTCATAAAGCCGATTACATTCAGGGCATTTTATTAAATATGACATCTATTTGTCTTGTGTCTGATGGGCTCAGCTTAGATATGATACGTTGTTGTCCCCGTATTCTTGATATACTTGGCCATCTATACAATTTTTATCTTACTCAATCAGTTTTCCCAGACTCCTGAAAATGCGGCTATGTTAATCCCATTCCCAAAGTAGTTCCAGTTAATACATATAAGGATCTGAGGTCTATAACAATGCTGCCAGTGTTGTCGAAGTTGTTGGAGAATCTTATGGTTGAACAGGTTCAGTCTTATTTAGAGGCACATTATATACTACCACCTAAACAGTCTGGTTTTAGAAAACAATTTAGTTGTGGTACTGCGCTTCTGGATTTGACTGATGATGTGTTCCGAACTTTGGATCAGGACAAGTCAACTTTGTTGATATTGCTTGATTTCACCAAGGCCTTTGATATACTTGATCATGGCTGATCACCACTTAGCATCTTAAAGTTTATCGGGACGAATGTACATGCGGTTAAACTTTTTGATAACTATCTTTCTAATAGAATTCAGTCCGTTAAGTTGAATTCAGTGATATCTAGTCCTGTATTTTGTTCATCAGGTGTTCCACAGGGGTCTATTTTTGGACCAGTTTTATTTGCTATTTACACTTGCAACTTATTTTCTAAATTAAAGCATTGTTCTTATCATCTGTATGCGTATAATACATAATTATATCACAGTTTTAAACCAGATGATCCCCCTTCGGCATGCCATATTATTACTGAAGAATTGGTTGCTTGCTGCACGGAAATTACTAAACATGATTTGAAAATGAATCCTAGCAAGATTCAAGGTATTTAATTATTTACAAAGAAGGGTGGTTGGTTTGTTGATAGTGCTCGAGTCAATGTTATTGTTATGGATAAGCCAATACATTTTTCTAATACTTTGGTAATCATGTAGGCGTTCTGTGCGGTCGTGCTTATGGTGCTTTGAACCGTTTGTATTCATGCCGTAAAGTTTTGTCCATTGGTCTCAGGAGTTTACTGTGTAACAGTCTTGTTTTATCAAATTTCAATTATTGTAGTGTATAGTACTTTATGTTTGTTGTCTGAATCCAAGTAGAGGGTTGCTTGCTTACGTTTTGTTTACAGCATTAGGCGTTGAATGGTTGAGTATGAGACTAAGGTTCCTTGTGCAATATTTATGTCTAATTTACAGGATTATTCACTCAAGGAAACCTCCTGATCTTGTAAATAAAATAAGGTTTAGAACAGACGTTCTCAACTTAAACTTAAGACATAGATTTACAATGAGTATACCATTTCAACAGTCTGCAAATTTTGTGATTTTTACTATTATCAAATAGCCTGTTTATGGAATTCATAATTTGTTATGGCTAGATGTGCCAGCTCAACGTATTCTTCCTCTTTTGTATCGATATACTCGACAATTTTTTAAAGTAAATTTGTCATGTGTGGCCTTATTTCCTTGCTCCAGCATTTCTCTAACCCTCGCAACATCATCGTGGTCCATCCTACAACATTTTTCCATCTGATTTCCAATCAAGGCGTCTGCTACAACGTTGCTACTTCCTTTGTGATATTCGATGGTGTAATTATATTCAGATAGTTTCAAAAACCATCTTCCTATTCTGAGATTCAGATCTCTCTTGTTAGACTACATTTTTAGGCTATTACATATCACGAATACAATACCTAGCAAATACACTCTGAATCTTTCCAAGGTTCATACTATTGTAAGTAATTAACTAGTAATTGTATCAGTCTCCATGCTAAAAGTTTCTTTAGTAGTATATTTGTTGACTAGGTAAACTGTCTCTCCATTTCATTGCAACTCCAACCAATTTGGATAAGCCGTAATGTTTAAGTTTTTCTTGATACACTACCTTCATCTCTTCTTTCGTTAATCCCTCCCATCTAATTCTCTGGTACTTAGCACTGCCACAATACCATCACCAGCACGTGATGGTCTGTAGAAAGCTCTGCTCTCTTACAACCTTGATATCTTTAAAAGAATTCTTCAGATCTTTTGGGATTATGAAATAGTTAGTGATACTGGCATACCTAGTGCTTTCAATCATGATCTGATGGATGCGTTTATGTGGGTAAAAAATGTTAGCCACAATCATCTGGTCGTGGTACAAAAGTCCAAAATTATGCTGCCACTATTGTTGAGCATTTCTTCTGCTGCATACTGACCCAGCACGCATCCGCTTTTAATACTGTTGTTACCCACTCCGCCGATCAGATCGCCCATTACGAGCACTCTCATCCCGGAATCTTCTATTATATCCACTTGTTTATATAGCTCCTCAAAGAAAACTTCCTTCTCTGCTATATCTGAATCTTCAAGTTGGTGCATACACTAAAATATGCGTGACTGGAACTTCCAATTCATCACAGAATTCTGGTGTTAATAGCCTCCCATAATGTGAGAATCCATAACGCAACAAAAAAATGGGATTCCTAATTTGATAATTTCAACTTTGGGGTCGTACCTCAATTTAGGCATCAATTTCTTCTTAAAAAACGCGCATTAAAGAAATAACATAGATATCCGAGCATTACAAAAGAAAATTCCCTGAATTTTAATAAAATGTATTCCTTATTTTGTGTACCTAGGATGCGACGCTACCTATGAATACGATAAGGACATACATCACAAATTGACAATCTTCACAAGCATGTGTGGAACTATTAGACGAACTTTGGGTAATAAATGAAGAAAGGATACTCAAATGAAATTTTATAAGACAATGGCAATACCGACCCTGATGTACGGCAGCAAAGCATGGGTATCAAGGAAAAAGGAGCTAAGCAAGATAGAGTCCGCGGAAATGAAGTTTCTAAGAGCGGAGGATCATATCAGAAACGAAGATATTAGAGAGGAACTGGAAATTTTCGCAGACAACGATAAAATCAAAGAATACAAAGAGAATTGGATGACCCATGTGCAGAAAACGCAGGATGACAGAATACCAAAATTAGCACTGCAGTATAAACCAAGAAGAAGACGATCAGTGGGACGCCTGAGAAAGAGGTGGTCTGAAGGATAGATACAGGTCAACAAACAAGGCTTAAACCGCTAAGTATACGACGACAAAGACGACTTTGTGTGACAAGGACAATATCAAAATGTGAATTAAAGGAAGTAAATGAAGCAATATATTGAAATTGTCTATGTATATTATTATTATAAATCACTAACCTATTTTTATATTACATAACTTCAACAATATCACAGGTCATAAATAGCAGATTCTTAATTTAATAAAGATATTATCTTTTACACAAACACACTTACCTATATATTTTATATTTACATGTTACAAATTAGTAGTGGACTTATAATCTGAACTCCCTGAACTAGTCAAAGTTTCCCATTCCTCTTCATTTGAGTCGAATTCATACAAAGCTAAAATGTTATATCTAAGCCTCTCCAATCGTCTTCTTCGTGCCAATAAATAAAACTAAATCCAACGGAAGCAATTTAAATCAACAATATTTGGTTGTATGAAAAAACTATATTTACCAATCCGGCCAGTAGTATAATAATTAAAATTATAACGAGTGGAACAACAATATAAAGCCATTCGTCATCCAATTTAGTAGAAATTGGGGGTAAAACCGTCGTAGTAGAAGTTAGGTTAGAATCGTTCTCATTTGTCATAACTGGATCTTTAACATCTTCAAATGTAAATTAGTCATTACTTCTCACAGTTATCGTCGAATTGATACTGTTCGATCGGTTTTTAGCACTATATTTCGATCCATTTTCTAAGATTGTGAAGGTGGTGATGCAGTTAACCATAACCAATAATTTGTTCCACCATTTCTTTTTTGCATCTCATTATATTTCTTTTAATTAATCATGCTTTCTTTATATACTTTAATATGCAAACATTTCAAATCATACGGAGACATTTAAGACACTTTCAAATTTTATGTTTATAGTCAATACCTCAAAAAATTCTTGAAATATTTAAGTCATAAGTAATTTGTGTTGCCTACAATTTCAACATATTGAGAACATAAAACATAAATATTAAACATTTAGTATTTAATTCTATATAAACAAATTACACCGTTTTATTTTCAATAGGAATGATAAAAATATAAATAATTAATTATATAATTCAACCAGAAATTGTTAAGTACAGTGTGTTAATTAATTATCATACCTGACAAAGTATGCAACCAATATCACAGATTGGTATTACACTGCGACGAAAGTTTCTAAAAACGATGGCGACAATTCATTAACTTTAAAAGTCGTTTAAAATATATTTAGATATATTTTAATAATTAATAAAATATTTTAAATATAAAAAAAGATCTAACTTTCTGCCCTTTTATTTTAAATAATTTTTAGTGTACCCATAGATTGAAATTAATGTTGAAAGTAGTGGTTATTTTGATTTGTTTATTGACTTACCGCTTAAAGCAACTGCTAGAAACAATGATAGTTTTAAAAAGAACTGTTTCGGAAAATATAAAGGCAGCAAAACACGGTTAAAGAACAAAGAAAATACGGAAACTCACAAATCGTACGACAATCACAACAATTATTAATTTAAAATTATCCAAGCTACCACTACATATTGAGATATACAGCCAATATTACACAGGTCACGTGGGTTACGGTAATTAATTAACACAGTGTAAGTTTGTTTTGACTGGTTTTGCTCGTCACCTGCCAATACAAGGCGAAACCAGCGAAACGTTGAGCCTCGTAGAAATACCTACTTAAGACTTAAGTAACACATGTATACAGTATAAGAGCAGATATGGGATGAAGATAACAGGTGCGAGCGAAAACACTGGGAAGTAACACTTCTTGTTATCAACTTTTAATCGAACACAGCTATTTCCGGAAATATATGGAATATGAGGAAGGTCTAGATGTCCTGACATTAACGTGATTCTGGACGATGCTGAATAAACACAGTGACATGAAAAGGTTGCGAAAGGCGAATTGATAGCGGTAGTTATTCGTTTGGTCCTCGTCACGCTCGTTGATCAAATGATCTTTGGCAAAGCGATGGGATTACATCTTATTGAATAAAAAAAATACATTATGCACAAATTATAGATATAAGATGTCTATGTTCCGTAGACTTGGGAACTGATCATAATCTCGTTTTGAGTTATCGACAGATCTTTGGACTATAAAGAGTCCACTCTCGGAGTATTTATAGATATCGAAGGAGCCTTGACAGAACAGCTTTCCATACAATTAATAAAGCCCTTAGAGACAAAGGAGTCCAGCCTGCACTAGCGGACTGGATTCTAAATATGCTCTCAAAAAGGGCCGTCCATAGTGTAATTAACACTACTACTAATAATAATAATAAAGATAACAAAATAAGAGCGATCGTTGAACGAGTATGTCCGCAGGGTGGGGTTTTACCATCCCTGCTGTGGAATCTCACCCTGGACAGCTTTGTAAGACAACTTTCATCTGAAAAATTCAATGTCTGCGCCTATGCAGACGATCTAGCCTGGTTCATGGGAAGTTCGAAAACGTCCTATGTGACCGAATGCAGGCTGGACTGAGAATAATCGAACGCTGGTGTCGAGATAATTCTCTGTCGGTAAACCCGAATAAAACAGAGATGGTCCTCTTCACAAGGAAAAGAAGGCTGGATACCCTTAGAGCGCCTTGGCTTTGCAAAGTTCCCTTGCGCTTTGCCAATGAAGTGAAGTATCTGGGGTTAACCCTTTATAAAACGCTGACTTGGAGACTGCATATCGAAGGTAAGATAAAAAAGGCACGCATTGCGTTTGCTCAGTGCAGAAGGGCCGTTGGGACCTCCTCGGGTTTAACGCCCAAAATATCCCTGTGGATATACACTGCAGTGATACGTCCAATGATGACTTACGGCGCGCGGCGCCGTAAACTGGTGGCCAAGAGTTAGAAATAAAACGATTGTTTTGCAACTACAAAAAATGCAACGTCTGGCTTGTCTTTACGTTACAGGCTCGATGATAACCACGCCAACAGCAGCAATGGAGAATGTACTGCGCCTTCCTCCTCTCAATTATCACGTTGAGGAGATGATGATAACAACAATGATCCGGCTGCGAGCGGCCAATGACAAATGGCTATATAAATGTGAAAAATCAACTAGCCAGCTATGGGAGGAGGCATGTAACAAACAGCCGCTCCTGAATGGCAGGTTAGATACGATTCCAACGCGTTTTATCTTCGAACGACCGTATGAAATAAAGGTAGGAGAACAATCCAGGCCTGACGAAACTGTCCTCCAATTATGGATGAACGGATCTCGTAGGGAAACTGGCTCTAGTGCTTCGGTTTATTCCGTCGAACCAACAATAAAAATTTCTAAATCGCTGGGAATTTGGCCCACCGCGCTCCAAGCGGAGCTCCTACTAGAAAAATACATTATGCACAAATTATATAAGATGTCTATGCTCTGCAGACTCGGGAACTGATCATACTCTCGTTTTGGAGAAGATCAGAATGGCAATAAAACCACAGAAATAAGTAGTCGAAAAGTGTATGAAACAAAGAAAAGAAAACTGCAAGATAAATCTATAAGAAATTTTTACCTGACAAGATTGGAGAATTTGGAGGAAGACATAATTTCTACTAAGTACATTTCAAAATCTAAAATCTACTATAGCCTTTTAATCTTCTGGGTTCTCTTGTTCTACGTTCGCTCCTTCTTCGCTGCGTCCGTTCTCCTCATCATTGTTCTTCTCCGAGATTGCGGTATCTTCGTTTGTCACGTGTTTTTGTTCTTCATTGGTATCTTCTGTACTTACATGACCTTTGTCCCTGTCTTGTGTTGGTAGTGGCTGTAAATATTTCTTGTTCCTACGAATATCCTCCTTTTTCGCTTCTACTATACAGAGTGTGTCAAATATCTGGTATATAGCCATTAACTTCGCCATTTGTAGTTTTAAAGAGAAATATTTCAAACACAAGTTTCTCTATTAAGCGTGGCGCATTTTTTGGCGATATTTGCTTGTTTGTTTTGTTTTTTGTTTCGTTGCTATGGCAACCAACATTGTTATTTTAAATAGGATGCATTTGTTTTTTTGCATACTTTGATAGAGGATAAATCTCTCTATGTGATAAACATATCAAATAATGGAGGAAATAAGAAAAAATGTGTTTTCTGAAAATATTAAGTCTGCAATTAACAGCCTTAAATGTTAAAAAAATGACAGATTCAATAAATATGAAAAATTAATGATGTATGGGTACGGCGATACACATTTAATGTAGTTTCGGCATTGGTAGCTGTCTTCGGCCGTCCATTTTTTGGAAGGTTTTTAACACTTCGGTGTTAAAGAATTTTTTTAATATTTTGGATACTGTGGATTGTGTAATTTGTGTATGCGGGTAAATATTATTGAACAGTATACAAACTTCACTTTGAGTGCGTTTTCTATCACCATCATTAATATTTGGATCCTTTGTCGTTCGCTTAATTGTGCCATATTTGTTTAAACTGTTAATTTTTTGACATTTAAAACTATCAACTAATACAGATGGGTGGCCCAAAAGTCACGTATTTTCAGAAAACGCGTTCTTCTCGATTTTTTTTCTTATACAACCATATGATTTGATGTGTTCATCGCGTAGAGAGATATATCCTCTATCAAAATATGCATCCGATTTAAAATAACGATGTTGGTTGCCAGAGCAACGAAACTAAAACAATGTAAACAAGCAAATATCGCCAAAAAATGCACCACGATTAATAAAGAATTTTTTATTTGAAACATTTCTCTTTAAAATCACAAATGGCGAATAACCTGGAATGAGAATGGTTGGGTTGGGCTATATTCCAGACATTTGACACACTCTGTATATGATCTCGGCTCCGTTGTCATCTCCTGCACTATTCTCTCTCTTTGCATGTTCACTATCCATACTCTTTCACCAATTTCCAAGTGTTCGTTTGTTCTCACTTTATGTCTTCGATTATATTGTTTTTTTTTTGTTTTTCTCTTTCAGATTTAAATTCTTTTCTCACTCTATTATGGTTTGCTGTTCTAGGGTCCAACTTTGATTTAAGTATTGGAATTTTATCCCTTAATATTCTACCAAAAAGCAGTTGGGCTGGAGACAACCCGTATTTTAATAATCTTTATTCTTGCGAAAAATCTTTTTCATAATTTTTACAGCGCTTTCCGCCTGTCCGTTGACTTGCTGATATTCTGGGCTACTAGTTGCACTTTTGAACCCATAATCTTGAACAATCTGCTTAAATTCATAGCTGATAAATTGTTTTCTATTGTCTGATCTTATTTCTTGTGGAATTCCATGGTGAGACATTATATCCTTTAACTGCTCTATGATAGTTTCGCTACGCATATTCTCTAATTTTCGAATCTCAGGGTAATTAGAATACTAATCCTGCACAATTATAAATAATTTACATTTTTGGTAGCTACATCCATTCCTTACATTTCCCATGATCTATGTGGTACTTTGCTCGGAATCATTGGTTCCGTTGGAGGTATCTTATTTGTTAAACAAATTTCGCAGGTCTCTATTTTATCAATTATTTGTCGTCTTATTCCGGGCCACCAAATAGTCTCTTTTGCTCTCGTGAATAGTTTTGAGACAATATTTTCTACGCGTGTGAAGTTGGCCATAGATTTTAAACTGAAAAAAATGCGTTATTGGAGTATTCAATCGATCTAATTTCAACGGCATCGTATTCATGGCCGCCTCTTGTTTCAGATTCCAAAAGAAAATTTTCCTAACCATTTCCTATATTCCGGAAAAATTGATTTTCTTCAAACATAAGCAAATGTCGGGCTGTTCGGGGTTTCTAATCGATCCCATTTCAATGGCATTACATTCCTGGTCGCTTCTTGCATCAGAATGAAAAAGAAAATTTTCCTAACCATTTCTTATATTCCTGGAAAATCGTTTTTCTTCAAACAATTGCATATTTTGGCCTGTTCGGGGTTTCTAATCGATCTAATTTCAACGGCATCGTATTCCTGGTGGCCTTTTGCTTCAGATGCAAAAAGAAAATGTTCCTAACCATTTTCTATTTTTCGGAAAAAACCGATTTTCTTCAAACATTCGCAAATTTCGGCCTGTTCGGGGTTTCTAATCGATTTCATTTCAACGGCATCGTATTTCTGGTCGCCTCTTGCTTCAGGTTCGAAAATAAAATTTTTCTAACTAATTTCTAACTAATTGTTTGAAGAAAATCGATTTTCTCGGAATATAAGGAATGGTTAGAAAATGTTCTTTTCGAATCTGCAGCAAGAAGCGACCAGGAATGTAATGCCGTTGAAATGGGATCGATTAGAAACCCCGAACAGCCCGACATTTGCTTATGTTTAAAGAAAATCAATTTTTCCGGAATATAGGAAATGGTTAGGAAAATTTTCTTTTCGAATCAGAAGCAAGAGGCCACCAGGAATACGATGCCGTTGAAATTAAATCGATTAAAAACCCCGAACGAGCCGAATTTTGCGAAAGTTTGAAGAAAATCGATTTTCCCGGAAAATAAGAAATGGTTAGGAAAATTTTCTTTTCGAATCTGAAACAAGAGGCGGCCATGAATACGATGCCGTTGAAATTAGATCGATTGAATACCCCGGCACGCATTTTTTTCAGTTTAAAATCTATGGCTGAAATCTATGGCCAACTTCACACGCGTATATTTTCTGCAACTATTCAATCACCATATGTTAGTATACCCTCAACTATTCTAAGATTAATTGTGTATTCTCTGGCTAAGCCGTTTATTTATTTCTTCCTCACGTGTTCGATTCAAGTGACCGAGTCCTGTTTCTTCTTAACGATTTCCGTAATTATCTCTGGTTTCACTTCTATTATAATAATAATAATAATTCACTTTATTGCCCAACAAGATCAATTACAGGACAATATTACAAGAAAAAGAAAATAAGAAATAACACATGCCATAAAACAAATATAATTCACATAAACACTCTTACACTATTATTGATTGTTAGTTAGTTTACACATCCTCTGCACCGGGGAGTTGGTTAAAACATTGGATCTGCAATTCCTCAAATAAAACTGATTTGTACTACGTGTTGTACGCGTAGGCACCACAAAAATGATCCGCGACAACAACCAACCACAATCCAATTCACCCTGCATTAACTTCTGCTAAAACTTGATGCACTGGTCATCTCTTCTTACGTCTAGTGCAGAAAAGTTGTGACGCCGCAGCAGGGATGCGTAATCCATTCCACGATCCGGGTATGATCCGTCCAGGCGTAGAGACAAATATTTGAGAAATCTCCTCTGAATTCTCTCCAATATAAGTCTATGACACACATAATGTGGCGACCAAATTACAGAGCCATATTCCAATTTGGACAATACAAAGGTCGAAAATAGGGTCTTGTACACACCGATATCAGAAAAAGCACGCGAGGTGCGCAAAACGAAACCAAGCATCCTCGCTGCAGAAGACGCAATATTTTCGATGTGAGGTACAAAAGACAATTTGCGGTCAAAAGTTACTCCCAGATCCTTGATTGTAGATAGTTTCTCAAGAAGAACACCTTCTATATAATAAGAAGATGGAAGAGGAGACAGCTTGCGCGTAAAACTAACCGCACCGCACTTATTGGCATTAATATTATAATTACATTTATGGAAATGACTGGTGTGCAGTTATCCATAACTCCCAGCCATAAACTTAAATCATTCATAATTCCGTAACCAATACGAGGAAGTTACGATGGCCGGATGTTGTTGAAAGTAAAAATGATGAATATAACCCATACTTTATTCTGATTTAATTAACATGATTCATGAATCTAACAAACATGATGAAGACAATGATTTAGATGAAGATCAATCTGAACCAGTTGCGTTTACAGCAAGAATCATAAGCATAGGACTTGGATTGGGAAAAAAATTGGGCAACCATTTCATACAATATGACACAAATGTTGATCGAGCTCTCCGATTCCAGCGAGAGCTTCGTAAATGCTTAAATCAATATGAAGAAGTCTATATTTAGCAAAAAACCCACGCAATTGTTAATTACGAATTTCATGACAAAGTCTTATCCACCTGAGATCTTCCCTAATTCGTCAACCATTAAGAATCACATCAAGAAAGCTGAAGTGATGATGATACCTATTAGAAAGAAAAGATTTATGAAAATGATTAAACTTATAATTAATTTTTACAGGTCTTTTTGTTTTTTAATTTTTTGTCCCTAATGCAATATAAATTAAATATGTACTTTCATATGTTTGTTGTTTTATGAACTAAGTACAATTTTGTGTTTTCTAAGATGTCTTACTTTTGTTGTACTTAAATAAATAATTGCATCATTTAAAAAAAATTTTGGGTTTTTTTTCGTTTTACACGATTTTACTTAGCAAAATTCAAGGTTTCAATCTACAATCTACCTTGTAAATCAGGGGATAAGTATATACTCCAACTATATAACCATAGAAGTACACATAAGAGATCTTATAGCTTCCAATAAACTTCTTCATTCATCTCTATTTTCATTCTCTCTGATTGTGAGTCTATCATATTACCACAACACCGCATAAAAATTCAAATTTTTATCTAATAATCTCTTGTTGTTTTTAAGAAGGACATGACTTTATTATACATCAACAAAGGGGTCCACTTGCAAAATAAATAACATGGAAATCAATAAATTCCTATTTTTTAATAAGCAAAAATTTATTAACTTCTACATTAATACTATCTACATTACTTATATAGCCTTAAACAGCAGCAGGATCGTTCTTTCCAGACTCATGATACTTAATATAAGTTTCTAAATGACTGTAATCCTTTTTATCCTCTTGCCAACCACGTTCCGGTGCCTTTTCATAATCAAATGCAGTCTTTTTCTTTCCAAAGATTTGATTAACAGCTTCAACGTCGTCCCTAAATTTACCAGCAACAACCTTTTTATTCGTTAGAGGATCTGTAACATCTCCAAGCCGATACACGATCTTATTCACTTTATGAGTGACTAATCTTGTCAAACGTTCGGGTAAAGCTTCTATTAAGACTACATCGCCAGTTTTGCATTGTTTTTGAGGATCGTGCGCGTAAATGAATTCATCTTTGCGGAAATACTAAAAAAAGACTTTGTATTTAAAATAATTATGTTTTAAGAATGAACAAACCATTAATAAATTTTGATCTAATTCAAGTCTTTTTACACGAAATTTAGAGGCGTTTTCTTTAACGCATGGTACACATTCTCCTAAAACCATTAAAGCTTTTGAAGCTGTTTTAAAAGCCATAGTAAATAATTTAAGTTTAGTAATTTATTTAGGTTATAAAATTATAACCTATAAAGAGGTTAGGTATTGATTAATAGTTGTTTGGGGAAACGATAGATGGTGGTAATTTAAATGTTTATTTAAAAAAATTACTTTTATCAGAATTAATTAGTGTTTTAAATTAAAATTACTTTAAAATTAATTATTTATAAATTAGCACTATTCATTTTTGCTTTAATTCTATCGGCTAATGGGATATAAGTTATTGTGAAAGAATCTTCATGATTATCACTTTTATCCTCTTGTATGGGTTTATTTGTTACATTAATTTAATCATTTTCTTCCTCAATATCACTTTTTGATTCATCACTATCCTTTCTGCACAATTCATTAAAAGTTTTCTCAAACATGTCTTCTTGATCATTATCAAAGTTATCATCACATCATAATTTTTTTCTTTTTGATTAAATCTAGATGCGGATTGAGGTAATTTTCGTGTTTTTATGAGTTTTTTCTAAAGTATTACTAATTAAAGCCTTTTTAAAATAAGAATCTACAGTTCTCTCTTTAGTTTTTTGTGGTTGTTTTTAAGTTTATTAATTTATTTAAAATGTATTGGTTATAAAATGATAACCTATAAAGGAAGCTAAGGTTAAATCCGAGAGAGCGCTTTAATTTCGACTTTAATTACTGCCCCGTGGTAAGTTTTCCGTTTTTAATTTGTTAAACCTTTTATCTTGTATTATCCTGTATAAAAGAAACTTAATCCAAAGAAGGGAACTAAAAAATAAAGTAAAAAAATAAGTAATTAAACTAAAAATCGCCGAATCGAGTTCGGCATGGACGTCGATAGCCGCCACCTCCAAACGAAAATGTTTTAAGAAAAATTGATGAACAGAACTTAACTGTAGAAGAACATTTTAACTACTTACAACAAAACATAAGCAATCTTGACATATCACGTTTTGTAGACATCACCTTTAAAAAAGAATTTCTTCTAGAAACACTTAAAGTGTTCAAAACTGGATATTACAGCAGTAAAGGAAGTAATATCATTATATCACAAAACACAATTGACTTATGGGGAAGAGTACTGACCCAAAAGGGAATCCCTTTCACAGTGAAACCAAAAATAAAATATAATTCAAAGGACTATCCGCCTTTCACAACTTGCATAGAGTCAATAGATAAAAACATCGGACAGATGAGAGATCTAAGAATCGGAAAGTTGCTGTACAACAGCAAAATAGTAGGAATAAAGAAATTGGAAAGGAGAGGAAGAAACCGAATAGAGGTGGAGCTTGACAGTAGGAAAAATGCAAATGACTTTATCGAATCAGAGTTGGCAGTTAAGAATGGTTGGAAGATTTTCATTCCAAACCATAGAATTTCTTGTAAGGCTATAATCAGGAACATAGACCCGATCTTTACCGAGGAGGAGCTGCTCACTCATTTAAGAACAGCGGACGACGAACGCGTGCTGCACGTGAGAAGAATTACAAGAAGAGTGGTGGATGAGAAAGGATCTAGTTGTATAAACACATGGTCTGTTATCGTGACATTCAGGGGAGTTGCGATGCCCAGATATGTAAGTCTTTTTTGGGGCATACGAACCCTTGAACCATATATTCCCCCCGTGACACAATGTAAAAGCGCAATGCAGATCACGACCGAGGTGCCCAGCCAGAGGGAATCACCTAAATAATGAAAAGGGTACGCCCGCGTCGAAAAGGATATGCTCAGAATTTATTAGACAGAAAAAAATCAAAAAAATTATGATGAGGTATAATTGCTCCCCTTACGAAGCAACACAAAAGATACTGCTAAACAACAATACCCAATCAACATCAAGGTCCCATATAGTCGTGGATGCCAAATCCTATCTAAACTTGACACAAAGAGCAGCCCAAAAGCCCAGAGTCTACGTACCACCAGCAGGAAAACAGTTATTAACCACAATACACCAAAAACTGCGGAAAAAAGACGAAAAGTTGACATTCCAGCAGAGTTGTTATATAAAAAGCCCACCCAGATTAACACAAGAAAGCTTACCGGAAACCAGAGCTAAAGACTGAGATATAGAATATGAGGAACAAGCAGAAATCTCAGTGATAAGAGATCAAAAGCGGAAAACAGACGACGATCATTTGTACCATCGGAACACTCATATGCAGACTTGAATCCATTTGACGCACTACACAATGTTCAATAACCAGATTTTAAAAATAATGACATGGAATGCTCGAAGCTTTTTAAAAAACCAAGTTACTCTATAGGGTTTTTGAAGGATAATATACAAGATATTGTAATAGTATGTGAAACCTGGCTAAACGAGAAAATTTTGATTACAACACCTAACTACTATCATGTTCGCAAAATGAGGCAAGATGGCTACGGAGGCCTTTCGGTCTTAATCAGGAACCCACTCAACTACGAGGTTTTAGATGTGGTTGAACCAGAAGTTGATACTCACTTAATTAAAATAAAAATACAGAACACCACTATAGTCGCAGGATACATACCACCGGACATTCGATTTACGACTGACCATTGGTGACAGGTGATGTATGGGATAAACAATCATTATATAATAGCCGGAGATTTTAACGCTCACCATAGAATTCAAAGAATTTCAAAGGAAGAGCACTGGAAGAACTCATAGTGGAAAGAGAATTGCAGGTGATAAACGACGGTCGGCCTACACTTTTTTCATACACCGAGCGCAACCAATGTGTGATAGATTTGATTCTCGCATCAAATGACATCGTCGATAGAACAACACCTTAGGTAGAGAGCATTTTCCGGTATTTATGGAAATGACAACGCCTGTGGCAACAGAATCCACAATACCAAACACAAGAAGAAAAGCGAACAAGCCAAAGACTAGAGATTGGGCAATATTTAAAGAAAAGTTGGAAATAAACAGCGCAACGAAAATAATACATATGAGAATTTCACAAAAAATATACATCATGCTGTCGCCGGTGTCACCTCAAAAGCCGCAAAGAAACGCAAAAACCCGTGCCCTTGGTGGGATGGGGAATGTGAAAAAATCATAAAAATAAGACAACTCGTTACTAAGATATACATAAGAAACAAATCCGCAATCAATTTCCAGATTGCCAAAAGACACATAGCAATATCGAAAAAGTTCTTATTATTGAAGAAGCGTACTTATTTTAAAAACTTGCAATTCTCTAAATCACGCCTGGGTAACATCTGGAGAAACATCAGGATATACAAGAGAGCAGTTTTTGACTCGTGCTCGGGACCACCAACAGAAAATGGATGGAATGAGGAATTCTTAAACATATTATGCCTTCTGCTTTCTAGTTCTAGGTCTAGTGTTAGTTCTAGTTTTAGTGCAATAAAAATATACAACATAGTGATATCTAGCAACATCATGTTTGGACTCATGTTAATGGTTTTTTTTAAGAATACCAATTGTCCATTTGTCTATTATATGTTAACTAACTTCAGATTTAAAATATCAACCTCAATTTTGACATATTTGTAATCTTCATTAAATATCCTTTAAAATGAGTACAAACACGACATATTTATCTTCAATATTAATGAAGTTATGGTCAACTTCCGATTAGAAATGTCAACGTCAAATTTGACATATTTGTAATTGTTGTGAAAAATCCTTTAAAATGAGCCCAAACATAATACGTTAAATCCAATATTAGTCGAGATATAAGCAACTTCCAGTTTGAAATGTCAATGACATTTTGACAAATTCTTAATTTTTATAAAATGTCTTAACATTTATCACAAAAACAAAAATACAATAAAAAAAATTAAAAATTAAGGTTGGTATTAATATTTAATAATTAAATTACTATCTTCATTGTTGCTAACTTCGGGTTTAACGTTTTTTTATTCTAACTTTTTTGTTTTTTTAGATAAGTACGTCATCGCTGGACTCATTTTAAAGGTTGTTTAATGATGACGAATATGTCAAAATTTGCGTTGACGTTTCAAACCGGAAGTGATTGTATTTCCATTAATATTAAAATTAAATATGTCGAGTTTGGACTCATTTTAAAGGATTTTTTATGAAGTTGACAAATATGTCAAAATTAAAAGTTGAAAGTTTGAACTTTTTGGTTTTTTGAGATAAATGCATCAAGTTTGGAATCTTTAAAGGTTATTTTATGAAGATTACGAATATAATAATAAAATTTAAGTTGACATTGACAATTGAAAGTTTTTTTCACGACTAAACCCGACTGTTTCTAGTTCTAGGTCTTGTGTTAATTCTTCAGACTTTTCTAAGTTCTTGTCTAAGACGCCCAGCTAAACATAAAACTTTCTAGTTCTAGGTCTAGTGTTAGTTCTAGTTTTAATTGTTATTTAACCCTAAATTCTTGTACATTTTAATTGATCTAAAAATATTTTTTTTTGATTTAATCCACTTACCTTGCTAATAATATTTCATCCATTTACCCATTTTGAATTAAATACAACCTTTAAATCCAATTAATTATGTGTTTTTCAATAAAAAAACTTAAATTCAACGTCAATTTTGACAAGCAACCGTAATATTTGGATCTTAATCACCATGGAAACCGAGTCAAGTTGGATAACCTTAAAATAATAAAATTTTATTCCGATTTTTTAACTTAATTTTTATTAATTTTAAAACAATTCGAATTCTTTACGATTATCTCGCATTCAAAACAAATTCGTTAATTGTAGTTAATTTAAATACCTTGTTTATAATCCCCTAGACAAACCAATTTTGAGTTAAATACAGCCTTTTAAACCAATTAAATAAGACTTCGCTTAAAAAAACTTAAATTCAATTTCAATTTTGACAAGTACCTGCAATATTTGGATCTTAATCACCATGGTAACCCAGTCAAGTTGGATAACCTAACAATAATAAAATTATAACCGTTAATATTTCGCTTCATATTTTAATTTTTTTTTTATTTTATATTTTTGTATATTTTATCTTCTTAAGTGAAATACAACGTATAAATAAAAACATAGAAATGTCAATTCTTCCAATGATGTCACAGCAAGGCCTCTGCAGAGGTATACGTTCATAACAACAGCGTTCATATGGAGTTGGATAACCTTACAGTATGTTTACTCAACGGACCTTGGGGTCTTCCATAAAAGGTTATAAAATTATAACTTATAAACCAAAACCCTACCAGTAGAAGAATAACTAATAATAACCTATAAAGAGGCACAGAAAGAGGTTAGGTATTGACTAATAGTTGTTTGGGGAAACAACAGATGGCGGTGATTTAAATGTTTATTTAAAAAAATTACTTTTATTAGAATTAATTAGTGTTTTAAATTAAAATTACTTTAAAATTAATTATTTATAAATTAGCACTATTCATTTTTGCCTTAATTCTATCAGCTAATGGGATATAAGTTATTGTAAAAGAATCTTCATCATTATCACTTTTATCCTGTTGTATAGGTTTATTTGTTACATTAATTTCATCATTTTCTTCCTCAATATCACTTTTTGATTCATCACTGTCCTTTCTGCACAATTCATTAAAAGTTTTCTCAAACATGTCTTCTTGATCATTATCAAAGTTATCATCACAAAAGAAGAATGAATCATTTAATTCTTTCTTTTTGATTAAATCTAGATGTGGTTTGAGGTAATCTGGTTTTCGGCTTACTATATCATCAATGATATCCGATAAATCAGAATCGTTTTCATCTCCGAAACTCGACAAGTCTAAATCAAATTCTAAATCAGTCTTTTTATTAGCTTTTTCTAAAGTATTATTAATTAAAGCCTTTTTAAAATAAGAATCTATATTTCTCTCTTTAGTTTTTTGTGGTTGTTTTCGAGATTTTTTAGGTTGTTCTTTGTCGGTTTCTTTTTTCTTGCGTTTTGAAACCTTTTTTGGTTTTTCTTTAGAGGCTAAAAATGTTTGTACTAATTCTGGGTAAGTTTTTTCGACTAAACTTTGTGGTTCGATTGTTGATAATAATTTTGTTAGATCGACATTGACAAGTTGTTCGTCTGGAATTAAATTTTTAAACAAATTTTGTTCATCCAACCAAATTATTTCATAACTTGGAGTTCCTTTTGGATTTCTTGCTTTTTTAATATAATCAGGTTTTAAAAGTCCTTGCATATTTCCATTTTTGGGGCAATTTAGAACTTGCCATCTAGTTAAAATTGGTAAAAACTTTCCAAACGCATAAATTTCTTCCCATTGCAAATAATCCCGACAAAAATCAACAAATCCAATCAAATTCGGTTTTGTCCAACTTAAATTTAAATGATTCACGTTATCTTTTCGTTTTTGAAACTCATCGATAACATCTTGATTAGGAAAATTGGGATCTTCAAGTGATTTTTTACGAACGCTGATTTCGTTTTTTAATTTTTGCAGTTTTTCTTTGTAATTAGTGTCTACACAGCCATTAGTTTTATCGCAATCTTTACAACCCTTTTTATTATGACTTTGTAGCCTTCCCAAATGGCCACAATTCGTACAAATAGTCTTATCATTAACATTTTCTTCTAAAATTTTATAATAAGCATCTTTTTCTCGCCATGATTTTAAATAGTTTAAAATTTCCTCCTCCTTGATTTGATTAAAAAGTTTTAAAACTGAATCTTTACCTACTCCATAAACACCATCATTATAATCAGACCCACAAAGTAAAGCTAAAGCTATCATTTTATTTCTACCAATTCCATTGTTTAATTTTAGTTTTTCTATATCATAAACATCAATTGATCCTCCAGAAGCTGCATGAGCCCCTTGTTGTGATATGGAAAAGTTTTTATACACAACTTTAGCACCGTAAGCAAAACAATCTGAATCTTGGGTAATACATCCATGTACTAACTAAAATTATATTTACTTTTTCATTTATTACAACTTTTTCAAAAAAAATCTTACTCCATCCTCATTTAAATGTGCACATAAAGCTTCAGCTTCTCCATTTCCTTTAACACAAGCAATACCCATAAATTGAAGCATCTCCTCACATTGTTTTAAAGTGTAATTAAATCGACTACGATCTTTACATTTCCTCGTATCTGAATCGCTTTTAGGTTTTGCCCCTTTAAATTGTAAAGCATTTCTCGAAGCTATAGTTTTGTATTTTAATGTAGGTGCTTTTCCATCTAATACAAAAACGGGGTTTACTCCCAAAAGTAAAAGACAACACGTTCGAAAATAGAGGTTTCTGTGAAATCCAAACAATATAAATAAATTAACGTTTTTTTGGAATATTTAAAATAAAAATCGAAACCTAACCTCAAATACATTCTTGGTTGAACTTGATATTCGGAGATATTTTGGGATTCACATATCCAACCTGATAAATCTATTGCTACGGTTTTTCCTTGGAGCTCAAAAAGTGGTTTTCTCTCGCAAAAAGAACCTAAAATGCTCCATAAATCTTTGATACCCATGACATAACCTTAAAAATTGAAGTTTTGTTGATTTTATTGAAATATAAACGTTCCTTAAATCTATTTCAGAGTTTATTATTAATAAGAAATTAAAAAGAAATAATTCAAGCTAATAAAAAGAAAATACTAAAGAATAATTTAAAAATATTTAAAAAATAATAAATTAGTTTGACGTTTAAAACGTCATTTTTTAAAACGAAAGTTAATTTAATAGAGGATTTGAGAGATATATATGTAGATAAAAATAATTCTTTAAAATCTTTAAGATTTGCTCAATTAAACTGTGTAACAATAATGCCACATCAACCTTTCCTATTAAAGAATTTGCAATTTAGCATCATTTTGACTTTTAGTTTTCTCATTAATAGATTCAACAGCTTTTATTGAACTTTGTTGAATGAATTCGGGAAAACAACTATTACCGAAATCTCATTGTTCGCAACATCATTTAGATGGTGTCTGAATCCCTAATTGAGACATCTGTATAGAAAAAAGTTTTGATAAGGAAAAATTGTACAATTTCATGATTAAACACTACTAATAATAAGATTAATACCAGATCTCGTGTTAGAATTCTCCATTCATAATTTTGTCTAAAATAGACATTCTTCGAAAGTTTTTTAACAACTCTGCTGTTGTTATACATCAATTGTAGTGTTAGCATCAGAGTTTGGCCTTATAAAATGATTTTTAATTATGAATTTCCTTGTGCGTAATTTTAATCTTATTTTATATCATTTCATTATGTTGGAAAAGTCAGTTTGCGCTTTGACACAGAGAAATGGTTCGTGAAACCAATTCAATAATACAAAAGTAATTAAAAGTGCTTCATAATCATGGTCCAATTTCGCATTGTGAGCCAATTTCTGGATTACTGCAAACACAAACTTGAGTTTTGCATTTCTACTTCTTATAAAATTTGAAGTTCGTGCTTCCAGAATTAACAACAACATCTGATGATCAATCAGATGCATCTTTTCTATTATGGAAAGTATCAGAACAAATACTATTCCAAGTTGTAGAAACATTCAATTATGAAGTATATTAGTGGTTTTGTGAAAAGCCGCATACCGGATCATCTAAAAGAGGATACTTTAATAAATAATTGGTGATATTTCCACAAAGATCCTTCAAGAAATTAATTTTGTATCGAATTTTGAAAATTATTCGAAAATTTTATCAAAACTTCAAATATTGTTTTCTCAAAAACTAAAAGTTACTTTTCAAAATGGCTTGGTTCATTGGAAAGAGGACACTTTTATTAACATTTTGGGAAATTTTCATACTCATATTCCAAGAAATCGATTTTATACAAATTTTTAAAACTCAATCGGCGAAAATTGCAAAATTAAAAAAAAAAACATTTCTACTTTCTTTTTCGTTCTGCTCTAATAGTAAAATTGTTAGAACGAAGGCATTGTATCAGAGTCTTGAACTGTTTGATATTCAATTCGATGTAAAATTTTTCAACATCGTTGCCTTCTTTTCCCGAAAGTTTTTCCAAATTTTGACTGCTCTCTCTAAGAGCTCCTGCTATGTATAATAATGTGGGTGTTATATTTCTTCACTAGCAAATTTATGTTTTATCGATTGTCGTCTTATGCCAACAATTTGACATTCTTAGCGTTTCCTATGACTTCAGGATGTTACGACATCGCCTACAAACAATCCTCGGGAACGGATTTTCGACTTACTTGGTTTTTTAATAATTTCCCAAAAAATTGGCTTCTGGACCAGGTTCGTAGTATTCATCTTCAAACTCCTCACCATCTTAGTCCGTTTCTGAATTATCTTTATGTTCTTCAACTACATCTTGAAACTCAACATCAATCTTCTTTTCAAAACTCTTGTTTGCTGATACCGCTCGACAGATATACATTACAGCATAAAAAGTAGAAGCGCGCGAAGAAGATATAAACTTGTGGAAAACGTATATATGCGAATACAATGTGTTTGGAAGGAAAAATCTCTCATAATTTTTCAGTAGGTTACTCTTACCTCAAAACCATTGATACAACAAATTCCAGAAAAACTGAAACTAGTCTGAAAGTCACTCAAAAGGCAGTTTACAATTAGTAACTGATCCCAGTAAATAAAACGAAGTAACAACTGAACCGTTGAAAAAGTTGAAGAAAAAGCAAAAAGTAGCCGCGATAACTCAGATTTAGGTATTTTGCAGGTTAAGAATAAGAGAAGAAAACAGAAAAGGAATAGAGGGAAAAAAATAGGTGCTAAAGACCTAATAAGCATAGATTTTTTTATATATCATGATTTTGTATTTTTATTCAATCATCTAATTTTTGATGGAAATAACTCTAAGATAGCTATTAGAATCATCCAAAACCTCATAATCGCCCTCTTAACATCCAAACTCTCAGCAAACAATTATTGGAGTATAATGGCAGCACTTAAAATATATCACATGAACATGTAAATCTAGCAAATATTTAACGAATGGTGTTGTAATAATATTAAAAATATATATCAAATCTTTTAGACAAATTATACGAATATTAGAGTTTATATAAATTCTGCAACACAAAATACGTTCCATAAACTTTGTCCACCATATACAGGATTATCACAAAACGACTGAATCGTTTTTAAAACGCTATAAATTCAAAACTATTACATCTACAAAAACAAACTTCCAAGTTTTTCTTAGCACCCTCTCATTTGAGTATGCAAGTTCGCAGATAGCATCGCTGGAAAGGTGTTGGTGCCAATGACCTACCTTCATTTCCTTAGGTCACCTGACTAAATGTGATGACCATTGTCAGGGTTAAGCTACAAAATAAGCCTAGGATTCCCACATAGAACATTTGTGAGTGTGTACAAAAACTTGGAAACTTTCCAGTTATTTTGACGTTTCATTCATGTTTATAGGTGTAATAGTTTTCAAAATATATCATTTTAAAAACGAATTAATCTTCTGTAGTAACCTGTATAATTTTCAGATGATAATCAGCCTCATTTTGTCAAATAAATGATCAACATTTTAATTTCGATTCTGATTTAAGTTTGAGATAAGACTGATTAAAGTTGTACTTTTTATATGCTTTATAAGAGAAAGCATCGAGAACAACCATAGGTTATCCATGATTATCTGAAAGTTGTTAAACTGTTTAGTATATTATTACAATTTTATTTATGTACATTGTTTTTAAAGTTAACATTTTCCAAAATTTGTGTGCAAATTATACATTTAAAACATGTTTTGCTATAATTATGAAAATATAAATCATTAATAATAGCATTTTATAGCATATTTTCTTTTTATTCAACATACATTTTGACAAAATAAAACAAGTATAAAAAGTACGAATTAACATCGTACAATTACTTAAAAAAATTTAACTTAATATTAATATAAACATTAGTGTAAAAGCGTAAACAGCGACTGTTTAAACACGTAAAAAACAGATTAAATCAGTTTTAGGACGAGTTAATACTGATTTTACTTAAAAAATATATTTATTTTCTTCTGTAAACCGATTGCGCCTTTGTACAATAGCTACACATAATTAACTAATCAGTTTTAATGAATTATTTATTACTTTGTTTAAATTAAGTCTTCACAGTCAGAACTATTCACCTACTTTTAGTTCTTTTTTTACAGTTTGTTTTCTTACGCGCACGTTTTTTTTATTTTTTTGTTCTTGGTTTAATTGTTCGAGAGAAATTCACGTTCTAAAGCTGCACCCATCATGTTCCAATCGCCATCGTCGACTTCATCGGGAGCTTCATCACTTCCAGGACTGTTGGTATCATCTTCTAAATCTAAATCGCTGTTATCCAATTTCTCTCCACGACGAAATCTTGTACTTGGAAATTCATCTATTGAACTATCGTTATCTATTGGATCTTTGTCTTCTTCGTCCACTTGTCTTCGTAATCTTTTAAAACCTATATAAAAATTATTATTTAATAGGTAATAAATTGTTAAGTTGAAAATACAGTGTGTTAATTGGACCGCGTTATAAATCACTTGACTAAGCGACATTTTATCGTTTTTAGAGATTTTCATGCTGTCTAGTAGGTAAAGACCCTTTTTCCATTTTCAGAGACTCTATAACTAGATTAACATCTCTCATCTTATAAACGACATCGGTAGGTAGCACTAGTTAGCATAAGATATTAATAGGTTGTATATTTTTATTGAACTAAAACTAGAACGAGAACTAACAACATTCGGGTTTAGTTGTGAAAAAAACTTTCAGTTGTCAATGTCAACTATAAATTTATTATTATATTCGTAATCTTCATAAAATAACCTTTAAAGTGACTCCAAACATGACGCATTTCTCTCAAAAAACAAAAAGTTCAAACTTTCAACTATTAATTTTGACATATTTGTCAACTTCATAAAAATCATTTAACATGAGTCCAAACTTGACATATTTAACTTTGATACTAATAGAGATACAATCACTTCCGGTTTGAAACGTCAACGTCAATTTTGACATATTTGACATCATCATTAAAAAACCTTTAAAATGAGTCCAAACATGACGCACTTATCTCAAAAAACAAAAAAGTTAGAATAAAAAACATTAAACCCGAAGTTAGCAACAATGAAGATAGCAATTTAATTTTTAAATATTAATACCAACCTTAATTTTTGTTTTTTTTTATTAAGACATTTTATAAAAATTAAGAATATGTCAAAATTGACGTTGACATTCTTAACTGGAACTTGACCATAACTTCATTAATATTGAAGATAAATATGTCGTGTTTGTACTTATTTGAAAGGATTTTTAATTCAGATTACAAATATGTCAAAATTGAGGTTGACATTTTACACCTAAAGTTAGTTATCATATCACAGACAAATCGACAACTTCATGGTATTCTTTCATGACGTATTCTTTATTAAAAAGCTTTAAAATGAGTCCAAACATGACGCACTTATCTAAGAAAACAAAAAAGTTAGAATAAAAACCATTAAACCCGAAATTAACAACAATGAAGATAGCAATTTAATTTTTAACTATTAATACCAACCTTAATTTTTGTTTTTCTTTTTATTATATTTTTGTGATAAATATTAAAACATTTTATAAAAATTAAGAATATGTCAAAATGACATTGACATTTCAAATCGGAAGTTGCTTATATCTCGTAATATTCGTACGTAAAGTAATAATTAGCTTGTAATTAGCGTTAACTGATTATTAATTAGTTTTTCCGACTTATATATAGTTACCGATTTCTGATCTCGCCACTTCGAAGCAGTTTCTGAAGAAGGTTGCAACATGGCATCCGAAACGTCAAACCTTTTATTAAAAGACGCACGGCAAAACCCGAAAGTTTCTAGTGTTAGTTCTAATTTTAGTTTAATAAACGTATCATGTTTGAACTTATTTTACAGGATTGTTTACGACAATTACAAATATGTCAAAATTGACGTTGACATTTCTAACTGGAACTTGACCATAACTTTATTAATATTGAAGATAAATATGTCGTGTTTGTACTCATTTTAAAGGATTTGTAATGAAGATTACAAATATGTCAAAATTGAGGTTGACATTTTAAACCTGAAGTTAGTTATCATATAGTAGACAAATGGGTAACGTCATGGTGTTCTTTCATGATGTATTCTTTATTAAAAAACCCTTTAAAATGAGTCCAAACAAGACGCACTTATCTCAAAAAACAAAAAAGTTAGAATAAAAAACATTAAACCCGAAGTTAGCAACAATGAAGACAGCAATTTACTTTTTAAATATTAACACCAACCTTAATTTTTGCTTTTTTTTATTATATTTTTGTTTTTGTGACAAATATTAAGACATTTTATAAAAATTAAGAATATGTCAAATTGGCATTGACATTTCAAATTGGAAGTTGCTTATAACTCAAGTAATATTCGAATTAAACGTATCATGTTTGGACTTATTTTAATAGTTATTTAACCAACAAGTCTATTAATGAAGGCGATTAATTATCGAGATATTTTCGCTTCGCTTCGCTTCGCTTCGCTCGCTCACGCGTTAATTATTGAGATAATTAATCGCATTTTAATATACGAGTTAGTTACAATATTTTTCCGTTGACTGTCCTTTCAACAAAATAGAGAAAATCCATCGTTCAAAAATCTCCCAATTCTATCACTGGCAAAATAAAAACCTCACTCTTAATGTGTCAAAAGTCAAAACTTAATATTGTAGTCTTACCGAATAGATATAGTGGTCGGTTGGATCGGTATTACCGATTTGATTGGAGAAAAATTGACTACTATATTAGTTCGGTCGGACTTTCTTAAAATCGTTTATTAATAGAAAATCATTTATTAATAGGTGTCATTAATGAATGATTTTGTATACATTTATAAATCATATAAATACACAGTCGACGGAAAAAGATTTTTCACGATGATTACGAATATTTCAAAATTGACGTTGATATTCTTAACCGAAAGTTGACCATAACTTGAATATTGAAGATAAATATGTCGTGTTTGTACTCATTTTAAATGATTTTTAATGAAGATTACAAATATGTCAAAATTCAGGTTGACATTTTAAACCTGAAGTTAGTTATCATATAATAGAAATTTTATAACAGAAGTTCATCTAGTGTTAGTCACTTTTCAGCACTTTCTTTTTATTTTTAACGTGTTTTTGGGTCATTTCACATTGATTAATTGATTAAGAAAACACATGATGATTATTGAATTTTTCCCAAGTTTCTTAATATTTCTCTTGTTAAAAAAGAGAGTTCTTAAATTTTAACCTGTAAACTTGTAACACTTCGTCCTTAATTTCATTTTACAACTTTTTAAACTTTAATTTTGTAAATTAGTAAATAATAATCTGATTTCGACTTTGATATATGATCTTTTTTAACAAAACAAAAAGAAATATTAAAAAACTTGTTTGTAAAATGGATAAGATAGAGTCTTTGAAGATGGCCAAGGGCCGAAACTAGTTAGACTTAAATTCTATATAAAATAGAAACCAGTTGAAAAGTACAAAATCAAACTCTAGATAATTTTCTTCAAAAATTTTTGCACGAAACGTCATTTTGACTTTAGTATTTGTGATTAAATGTATGCCACGACTTAGAGAAACACCCTGTATGATCGTAAAACGACTGACCAAGCGGATTTGTGATAAAAATAGATAGGCACCAAACAATTTTCAATAGTTTGAGCTTGTCTATTCTGAGAAGTCATATTTTTAGAGAGATGAAAACGAAAATCCCGTTTTTGTCAACATTGTTCATTTGTCGCTTAGTCAAGTGATGTATAACGTGGTCCAATTATTGCAAGTATGCAACACAATACACGATTTGCGTATTGCAATACCAATACTGTGATATTGGTTGCATACTTGCAATGATGACGTCGGATACGACAATTAATTAACACAGTGTAGTTACCTTTTGGATATTCCCCTGTTAAAGATTCATCCGAACTACTCGATTCTTTCTCATCCTTTTTTACACAAATTTTTGGTACATCTTTAACATTTTCCGCCTCACTTTCGCTATCGCTTTCATCGTCATCATCCATAAAAGCATCAACTTCTTTTCCCATATCGGCTATATCATCACTTGAGAAACACATCATAGTTGGAATCATATCGATAAATCTTCCGCTACTTGTCCTTTTCCGTTGTTGATTACCTTCGGGATAATTTGGGACGTGTTCTGGACTGCTGCAATGCGGCGGAGGGTGTCGGTTTTTTGACCCTTTACTATTTAAAGGAAAAATAATTTCTTCCACGTGTTCCCAACGTTCCGCACAAGCCCAAAGCCAATCGGACGTTACAATTTTAATATTTTTTCTTCGTCTACCCGCGTTTACTTTTGCAGTACCGGGTCGAACAGCTACTAAATGTGTCGTATCTTCTTGAAGATCTTGCGTTATTTTCGCCCCAAGACTTTTTGCTACTTGGTAAGCTTTGGAATCATGCAGTTTTAAATGTGTTGGTACTAAACCACTAAACACTAAGTTGCAACCTTTTAAAACTTGGCATCGAACCCTGGGAATAACTTGCTTTAAATCAGGGACCTGCCCTGATTCTAACTTATCATATTCATCATAAAATGTTTGGTGAATGTTTTTAAGGATATCTTCTAGGTATAAGAGGTAATCATCAGGGTCATCAATTTCTATTAAATCTTCAACCATTTCACTTTTCTTTTCAAACTTAACATTTTCTTCTTTTAAATCTTTATATTCTTTATCACTATCAATTTGATTTTCATTTCCTAGATCTTCATTTTGCTTATTATTTTCTTTTTTGTTATCATCTTTATTTTCTTTTTTGTTTTCTTCATTATTTACTTTTTCGTTTTCTTCATTATTTATTTTTTCGTTTTCTTCATTATTTATTTTTTCGGTTTCATCATTATTTACTTTTTCGTTTTCATCATTATTTACTTTTTCATTTTCCTCATTATTTACTTTTTCATTTTCATCATGATTTACTTTTTCATTTTCATCATTATTTACTTTTTCGTTTTCATCATTATTTACTTTTTCCTTTTCTTCATTACTTTCTTCTTTATGCTCTTCATTATTTTCCTTATTATTTACGTTTACTACATCACATTTTGTCTCTATATCTTCCTTAATTTCTTCTTTATCGTTACCATTTTTTTCACTATCTTTTTTTAAATCTCCATTTGTTGCGGTTTCTTTATTTTTTGTACTATTAGTTTCTTCATCAATTTTTTGGTCACCATTGGACGTTGTTTTACTAACATCGTTGTTTTCTGTTGGTGTAACATAATTTCCATTGACTTTTTTATTAGACGTCGATGTTATTTTAATTTTTGTTAAATCGACACCTGCTTTTTCGTCGTTTTCTTGTTTGTCTAAACCTGGAGGTGCATTTATATCACCGGTGTGTTGAAAAAAATGATATGGTTTTACGTGGATTAGATTCGTTGCGTGTGACCAAACATCCTCACGGTCATCTATTATACAAACCATATTATCACCACATGGAAATAATGCCCTGAAAAAATATTTATTTTAAATCACAAATAAATAATTATTATTTAACAAAGGCAAACAAAGATTTTGTAACAGTGCTCGTTTAATCATTTTTTGACACGTTCTGGCAAAATTATATTTGTGTTTAGAAAAGTACGTGGGGTATTTCTAGAAACTAATCACTATCTTATGAATTCGTACGACTAGAGTGGTTACAACCTTTTATCACAAATGCTATAGATGCATGAAGCATCTTTTAACAAGCTGGTGTAAACTTGCATAATATGCATTCTTGATTCGAGCAAAACCCACATTGCTTTCACCCCTTTATCTATGGGGTGTTATCTACTCTAAACGATCTGACTTTTCAAGAAAAACCAATAACCAGGGAAAATATGACAAAACACTAAATGCCATTAGAAACGTGTCCAAGGCTGAGACTTAACACGTTGGCTGCCGCAATAGTCACTAAAAGTCTATCCATTCTGACCGGAACAATTAAAATTAAATAGGCATGAGAATCAACTGGTGCTTCTCGTGGCAGTTGTGGAAATTTTGCTGTGCATCAAGTTACGCTTCTCATGGCAGTCAACGTGTTAAACAGCGTTCTTTTTTTCGTCGAAACTAGATTAAATAAATGCATCGAGATTTATGGAAGGCATTTCAAACATTTGTGAGCTATTTTTGCCAAAAAATTAAATAATTCTAAGAGTTTTGGTTTATTTTGTTTTATTATCATTGTTGATGTTGTTGTGTATAAACTAGTATTTTGTACCTGTTATTTTTTAAATTTAGTAACTGTTCCAAGGAACAACATACAAATATCTGTTCCAAAGTAACAGGTACAAGTATCGGTTAACACCTCTAATACTGAAGCTATTTTACTTTCACAGCCAGAAATTATTTGTGATTATAACAAAATCAAAGGGTTTGTGTGCGGATAATGACAAGATGGTATTAGCGACGAGGACTAATTCTTCCATCTCATCACTCAAACAACATTAGTAAATGCGTGGAAGTTGAATTATTGCAAAGTAAGGGATCACATTTCTAATACGGAATTTAACTTCCAAACAATTGAAACATTTTTATCAGAAGAACGCCGACGAATATTATTTTAGGAGCCAAATGTACAGTATATCAGCGTTGTGTTCTATAGTTGACACCACGAGAGCTGGCAGTAAATCATCGTTTTCCGCTCTTACAAATGCCATACGTAGTAAATTAAAGTTCACAAACCGCTAGAGAGTAATGTGTGTTAGAAAGAGGTAGCATTAGTTTAATATGTCTGCTATACAATTCAAATAACCACGCCGAAAATGAAATAAATAAATAATTAATGAATAAATTATGAACCACTGTTTAAATAAAACTTACTTAACCCTTTGTGTTCCCAAGAAGTCAAACATTTTGAAACTTTGTGACAGAATCAGACAGAATTAAAACGCTATCAAAATACACTCAGTAAAGGCCTTTGGAATAAAATTTTAGCAAAATATGCAATCCCCCTATTTTCGCATAGTCTAAGTGGCAAAAAAGATGCTAATTCAAAAATTCCTAGAAACCGTGTTTATTGAAATTAAGAAATAAAACTTATTTTAAATTGAAGCTTAAAGCTTTCTGTTTAAGTCGATGTATAATAATCGATGGGTTGAATTAGAAAAATATTGAGAAAAAGAGTATTGAGTTAAAACTAACATTTTCGTATAACCTAAAAGTGTCAAAAAAGATGCTAATTTAAAAATTCCTGGAAGCCGTATTTATTGAAATTAAGGAATGAGACTTATTCTAAATTAAAGCTCAAAGCTTTCTCTTTAAAATGATGTATAATAATTGTTGGGTTGGATTGGAAAAATATTAAGAAAAAAAATGTTGAAACAACACTTACATTTAAAAGAGTCAAAAAAGATGCTAATTTAAAAATTCTTAGAAACCATGTTTATTGAAATTAAGGAATGAGACTTATTTTAAATTTAAGCTCAATGTTTTCTTTTTAAAATGATCTGTAATAATCACACCTAATAACCATTTATCAAAGAAATACCTTTTTGAACAACAAAATTCAACAGCACCACTTTTCACTAAACTTTTAACCTCACATCTGGATGAATAAGTTTAAACTGTACCTAAAAATCCTACAGTGCGGATTGCGACGTTTTTTATACAGATTCTTTCTTGTATACACTTGTATAGTAGAAAGTACCGACAGCTCTAAATGCGCCGCATAGATAGCATAAAGTACCGTCGGGACACAAAGAGTTAATCCCTTGCGACCTGTAAATAACCTTTTTTAAAGTATTTGATAAATAAATAAATAATTACATAAATTTTATTATACAAATACACTATTATTAAAATCCTTGGAATTTTTTCATTTATTTACTGCTAACAAACGTTTCAAAGATAAAAATCTGCATCATTACAGAAAAAGAATTGTGATGAGTTATTTTGATCAACCAATTTCTATTCATTGATGTGATAAAATATTTAAATAAAGCATTCAAACATTGACATAAAAGAAGAAATAGTAGGTAATGCAGAAAAGACGACTTTGGTAAAAATAAATTGTTACAGAATAATAATGATTAGGAGGAAGATGATGTGCTTCTGTTATTACAATTAAAATTTTAATTTCGCTGGTTTCTTGCGAAAAGTTAGTTTGATAAAAATCTTAAATTCCTTGTAGTAATAATTATGGTGGTGATGACCAGAGTTCATTCTCACCCTAGTTCATTCTTTAATATGGATAGAAACTCAAAATAATGTTGAAGAAGTTATGCCTGCAGTAAAGAAATTTCAGGAGGCGAAGCTTGTAATACCATCCATATGAAAGTATTTTATGTTCAAAGGACTTTATTATTTATGTTTTTGTCCAAAAACGATACAAGAATTATTCAGCCTATGAACCAAAAATCATTTTTCATGAAGTAATGATGTTAGAAGGCGATAAAACCGAAGAATTTGTTTGATGATCAAGTGACAGGCAATAATTTTTTTAAATAGTGTTGGGTACTTGTGAACAAATCTCAAAAATAATTACCAAAAATAAGCACTTCCCAAATGGAATATTAATGTAGTTTCAGTACATTTCCTCTATCTGAGGAAGTTTCAGAGTGACACCAAAACATCAATAAATATCATAATTTCTTTCTTTATAACTAACTTGTTCATTGAAGTGATATAAGCAAACAAATTTATTTATATATCACTAAAAAGATCTATAGTATCAAGGTTTTACTAAGATATAATTCTATACCAAATCTAATTAAAATCTTTTGATAAATGTTTTTTCATTCAACTTTGTTTAATTTGTTACCACTATTTTATTGATTGATCACACATTTTAGATTTAAATTCCTCATTTTGGCACGTAAATTTTCTACTAAAACTTACTTTAAATTAGCTTTTTTACTAGTTGGATCAAAACATTCATCCCTTGACAAGATCCTATTTGAAAAAAATCGTTGATCACCATCCAAAAACGTCGTAATCGTATGGGCATAATTTCTTGCACCAAAAGTACAAATGTGTAATTCATACATTTCTAAGGTATGACTCATAGTAATGTTGCTATTAATATTAAATAGGTTAGGAGTAATAAGGTTATTTAATAAGGTTAGTACGACAAACATAACAAGGTTTGTTGTGCTACGTTAGCAGTAAGTCTAGTATAAGTATAGTGTAATTAATTGTAAAAGATATAGTTACAAAGAAGTCAAATAGAAGTTAAGACAACGATACAGTCTTTAATTATTAATTGATCACCTTTACCAATCTTCCCAATACTTAATAGAGAAGAACACTTATTAAGTTATTACANAATCGAGTATGATACCATGGAGAATTAGGCCCATAAAGTTGGAAGTGATATACATCTTTGATGTTGGGAGGAATGTTATCATTGGTTGTATGAATTAAAGTCTGATCTAAATCGACCAAGAGAACAAGTTTTCTGTTGTTTTTACAATAAATATGTACTTCATTAAAATCGTATTTATCTAAAAATGTATTAGTATTTTAACCTCAACTATTTAGTTACTGAAAATGTTACTAAAAATCAGGAAAACAACATAAATTTTATAAAGGTAGTAGGTAATATCAACAGAATCCCTAAACAATTTACCTTGACAAGTTTTATGGAATAAAAAACGAACTATAGTTTTAGTACATTTCCTCCATCTGAGGAAATGTCAGAGTGACACCAAAACATCATAATTTCTTTCTTTATAGTATCTAACTTGTGCATTGAAGTGATATAAGCAAACAATGTTTATTTATATATCATTAAAAACATCTGTAGTGTCGAGGTTTTACTATGATATAATTCTATATCAAATTTAATTAAAATCTTTTGATAAAAGATCTTTCAATCAACTTTGTTTAAATTGTTAGTTCTCTTTATTGATTCTGTTACTGCTATTACCAGTGTTTACTATCACACATTTTAGATTTAAATTCCTCATTTTGATTCAACTATTTCATTTCTCATACATTATTTAGAAAACTGGCAAGTAAATTTTCTACTAAGACTTACTTTAAATTAGCTTTTTTACTAGTTGGATCAAAACATTCAACCCTCGACAAGATCCTATTTGAAAAAAAACGTTGATCACCATCCAAAAACGTCGTAATCGTCTAGGCATAATTTCTGGCACCAAAAGTACAAATGTGTAATTTATACATTGGAGAAATATTTGCTAAAACTTGATGGGTTCCAGGTCTTAATCGAGTATGATACCATGGAGAATTAGGCCCATAAAGTTGGAAGTGATATACATCTTTGATGTTGGGAGGAATGTTATCATTTTGGTTGTATGAATTAAAGTCTGATCTAAATCGACCAAGAGAACAAGTTTTCTGTCGTTTTTACAATAAATATGTACTTCATTAATGTATTAGTATTTTAACCTCAACTATTTAGTTACTGAAAATGTTACTAAAAATCAGGAAAACAACATAAATTTTATAAAGGTAGTAGGTAATATCAACAGAATCCCTAAACAATTTACCTTGACAAGTTTTATAGAATAAAAAACGAACTATAGTTTCAGTACATTTCCTTCATCTGAGGAAATGTCAGAGTGACACCTATACATTATAATCTCTTTCTTTATAACTAATTTGTGCATTGAAGTGATGTAAACAAACAATGTTTATTTATATATCACTAATAAGATCTGTACTATCGAGGTTTTACTATGATATAATTCTATATCAAACCTAATTAAAATCTTTTGATAAAAGATCTTTCATTCAACTTTGTTTAATTTGTTAGTTCTCTTTACTGATTCTGTTACTGTTATTACCAATGTTTACTATCACACATTTTAGATTTAAATTCGTCATTTTGATTCAACTTTTTCATTTCTTATATATTATTTAGAAAATTGGCAAGTAAATTTTCTACTAAAACTTACTTTAAATTAGTTTTTTTACTAGTTGGATCAAAACATTCATCCCTCGACAAGATCCTATTTGAAAAAAATCGTTAATCACCATCCAAAAACGTCGTAATCGTATGAGCATAATTTCTTGCACCAAAAGTACAAATGTGTAATTCATACATTGGAGAAATATTTGCTAAAAATTGATGGGTTCCAGGTCTTAATCGAGTATATCATGGAGATAGCCCATAAAGTTGGAAGTGATATACATCTTTGATGTTGGGAGGAATGTTATCATGGGTTGTATGAATTAAAGGCTGATCTAAATCGACCAAGAGAACAAGTTTTCTGTCGTTTTTACAATAAATATGTACTTCATTAAAATCATATTTATCTAAAAATGTATTAGTATTTTAACATCAACTATTTAGTTACTGAAAATGTTACTAAAAATCAGGAAAACAACATAAATTTTATAAAGGTAGTAGGTAATATCAACAGAATCCCTAAACAATTTACCTTGACAAGTTTTATAGAATAAAAAACGAACTATAGTTTCAGTACATTTCCTCCATCTGAGGAAATGTCTGAGTGACACCAAAACATCATAATTTCTTTCTTTATATCTAATTTGTGCATTAAAGCAAACAATGTTTATTTATATATCACTAAAAACATCTGTAGTATCGAGGTTTTACTATGATATAATTCTATATCAAACCTAATTAAAATCTTTTGATAAAAGATCTTTCATTCAACTTTGTTTAATTTGTTAGTTCTCTTTATTGATTCTGTTACTGCTATTACCAGTGTTTACTATCACACATTTTAGATTTAAATTCCTTTTGATTAATTTTTTTCATTTCTTATATATTATTTAGAAAACTGGCAAGTAAATTTTCTACTAAAACTTACTTTAAATTAGCTTTTTTACTAGTTGGATCAAAACATTCATCCCTTGACAAGATCCTATTTGAAAAAAATCGTTGATCACCATCCAAAAACGTCGTGATCGTATGGGCATAATTTCTGGCACCAAAAGTACAAATGTGTAATTCATACATTGGAGAAATATTTGCTAAAAATTGATGGGTTCCAGGTCTTAATCGAGTATGATACCATGGAGAATTAGGCCCATAAAGTTGGAAGTGATATACATCTTTGATGTTGGGAGGAATGTTATCATTAGTTGTATGAATTAAAGTCTGATCTAAATCGACCAAGAGAACAAGTTTTCTGTCTTTTAATAAACGATCACCATCAGCTTTACCTAATTTTTGAGCCAACTAAAAAATAAAAAATTTAATCTTTAATGGTTCAAAGAAAAATTTTAATTTGTGATGTATTACCTCTTCACTAACTTTTAATTCAGGTATTGCATGTACCATTGGTACTGATGCTGTAGTAGCTGAATCATCTTTTCTTAAATCTGCTCCACACTCTCCGCACATATCCTTCATTACTGTTGGATGTATACATGGTGATAACTCTACAAGTAGTTCTCTGGGGGATGATAAAAGTAAATTACTTTGAGATAATAAAAATTAAGATATTAATAATATAAAAATTTATAAATACCATTACGATTTTTTAATTTTTATTGGATCAACTTAGTTGGTAAAACAAACCAAATAAATAAACCTATAAAAATCGTTCCCGCCGAAAACTGATATTTTCGCGCACAAATTCAAAAATTTACCATACCCTTTCTTAACAATGGCGCCTTCCTGTACAACCAAGCGTCGAACTGTCCCGGCCTGAGCAGACTTTAATTTACGTTGTTCGCACTTGATCGCCCCCTCAAAATCGTACAGAAGAATCACTCTACCGATTGATAATGAATTTCCCTCGGAGACTTTCCATTTTAACACTTTAATCGGTCGCGAAAATTGCTGGGAAATCGACACTGTTTTGTCAGCCATCTTTGCCGGATACCGCGCGGTGGTGACATCTATGCAGAAGCCGGTCGAAACAGTAACAATTACGCGGCTTATTTAAAATTTAAATGAAGAAATTGTTATTAGAAAGGTTTTTTGGGATTAGTTAGTTAATTAATAATAAGGTTAATTGTTACTTTACAAATTTATTAACTAATTTGATAATGTGAATAGGCAAAAAAAGAAAAATTACGTCAGGTAACAGTACCACATGACAACACACACGTTTTTCATTTAAAATCTAAGGAGAATCTATCTAAAAATAGAGAATGAAACTGAAAGAGAAATACGAGAATAAAAAACAGCGGTTAAAACGCGTTACTTTTCACGATTTATTCAGCCATTTTCTCCTTATATACCATAATCCTCTTCAGTTTGTACCGTTCTTTAAGCTAAATAGTACATAAATATACAAGACTTTAAAATAAAAATCACAATAAGTATGTATTCGCGTCACATAAATTAATGATACGCTCGGCGGCGACGCTAAAAACATTTTTTACTTTACTTTCATTTTTTTCATTTTAATTTAAGACATTGCTGGTTTAAAACTGATCAAAAAGAAAACAATAATAACACATATTCCTTTTGTTTTGTTCGCTTAAAACCTAACACGGGGATATCAACCAATTAATGGAGTCAGACCATTAATTTATGTGAAAATATAAATATGATGTAGCCAATTTCCCAGGTAAATACGAGAATAATCGTTTTTTATAAGATTTTGGTTTACTGGTTAAATTTTTTTTTTTTTTCGGGGATTTCTGTTATTTTTTGGTTAAGATCTACGCTTTTTAACAGCAACCACCGCCTTGTGAGCCCCCTTGTCCTCCGGCACCAGGCAATGAAGGATTTGTGGGCGAATGTTGAGGACCAATTTTGATCCCATTTGCCTATAAAACAACAATAAAAATTATTATTATACCTAATTAAGTTACATTAAGTAAAGAAATTACAAGATAAAATTAAGACAAAGTTATAATTAGCATTTTTCACGAAACGTTTAGATTAGATCACTAAGAACAAAGTACATTGTTTAAGGACATTGTGAAATTGTTTCAATGGAATTATAATTAGATTAAGGTTATTCATTTAGATTAATTGCAAAGGATAAAAACAATTATTGAAAAAAATATGATAAATGGCGCAGTTTATTATAATTTTAACGTCGGTTTGGACATACAGCTTATTTGATACAGACAGAGAATTTTTGAGACAAAATTTGAACGTAATTGTTAAGAATAATATTTGTTAATTAAGTAAAAAAATTCATTTATTAAACAAATTGGTTTTTAACAATAATTCTGAACCTCAGAGCCAAACAGTATTCAGTGACATTTTTTTAATTTTACAGGAGAGCAATTTGAAGATTTTGAACAATGATGTTTTTCAAACCAATTAATCTTGTAATAGGAGAACTTGGGTTATTGTTTTCTCAGTTATAATTTTTGAAGATAACTAAAGCTGATAATAACAAACCTCCTACATTAATTCTTTTAAATAATTTTAAAATAATTGAGGGACTTAATACTGTTTGGTTCTAGCAATTGACTTAATATTTTGTGACTTAATACTCTACTTTGTGACTTAACACTGTTTAGCCCCTACTAATTTATAGATACGTGGGACTTGATACTTAATTACTGTTAAAAACCCATGGTGGAACAATGCAAATTTGCAGAATTGCAATTTTGTAGAACAAAAACTAATTCATATCATTTATAACTAATTAATAAATGGTAAAAAAACACTAAAAATATGAAATATTAAGTATTTAATAAGAGATCACACCAAAATGTTGTAAACGAAAATTATCAATCTTCAAGTTCAAGTAACAAACAAATAATTAAAATAAAAATCATTGAATTTTTCAGGCGAAAGTTACCATGTGGAAGATTTTTAAAGTAATCTTGGAATCTTTTAGGTACCCATGTTAGTAACTTTTGCAAATCATTATAGTTTTTAGTAGAAATAGGTTTTAGTGTCTCTCTTATTGGTTTCAGCAGCACTAAATTAGCATTGGGAATAACTTCCTTAGAATTAACAGTACTTTTCTCTTTGCGTTGTAGTCTTTTAGTGGCTCTATTGAAATCAACTTGTTCAAAATTTTCTTGTATAAAATCTGTTTTAAAAGATAATACACCAGGTGTTTCCCTTAAAAATTTCATAAGAACCACTTTAAATATGAAAAAGTTCTGATTATTTACATTTTTTTTTTATTATTGTAAAAGTAAGACCCGGATTCTTCAGATAAAAGTGTTAGCGACACCGGCGAAAATATCACCTAATATTAACCTAAGACACGCCATCAGGATGAGCAAAGAAAATAAAACAGCTGAGATAAAGTGCAGAATACAACTAACATGGGCAGCCCCATGGGAAAAGAAGAACAATAAGGCTAATGGAATACTTAAATACGACGAACGCCCACTATCCAGACAGACGATCCAGACGAATTAAAAAATGGCAAAATATGCCCATACATAAAAGGGGCGTCAAATTGTGGTGCTGTAACTATCACAGGATATCGCTACTGTGCGAGGATACAGGTTTCAGGCAAGGTAGATCAACCACCGACCAGATCTCGGTGAAACAATGCTAAGGAACGCTTAGGAACACAACATCTTTGTTGGTTTTCGTCAGGCATACGACAGCATACACTAAAGCTATTCTCTGCATTATAGAATCAAGTATAAAGATGGGGATTCCTGCCAAACCCGGTAGATTAACAAAAGCAACAATAACTGATTTAAAATAATACAAGGCCTGCAACAAGGAGATAGACTGTAATGTCAATGGGAAGAGATAACTTATTGGCTTACAAAATAGTCCAATTGGCAGCGTATGTCGATGTCACTAACATAATGAGCCAACCAAACAAGCGGGAGAAGGCACATATGCCAATCTGAAAAATTACGCGAAAACGCGTTTACTGCTCTTGATGCGGGTAGAATTCAGAAAATCCAAAACAATTGTTTACGATTTGTGTATGGCATTAGAAAATTTGATCATGTCTTTCATAGGTTGGTGGACGTTGGATGGTTATCAATGAGGAACAGAAGAGAATTACATACCTTGATTTTTTACCATAGGTTGATGATCTCTCAAGCTCCGCATTATTTATTTAAAAAAATTAAATTTAGGAATAAGGATGTAAATGCTCGTCAAATGAGAACGCGTTGTCTTATTGTACCACCTGCCCATAGAACTTCATTATTTCAAAGATCTTTCTCTTATCATATCTATAAGTCCTATAACCTCATTATGGAATCGGATTGGACAGCCAATGTCTCGGTTTTCAGGTCTCGCCTTTTTAGATTCACAGACTGAGGCATTGAGACGAGGTGTTGCCTTATCTCAATGTGTTGCTCGATACGCGTCATAGCTTCTCTTTTTTTTTTTTTTTTTTTTTTTAATTTCTTTCATTTCTTTTTTTTATTTGGTTACAAGATTCATTTTATGCTTTTTTTATGATGGTTACTGTTTAGTTTTATTATATTATATATATATATTTATTTTTGGTTATTTACTTTATTTTTAGTTACATATTCCTAGATGCGAATTTATTGTTTCTGTTTTTTATGTTTCTTATTGTGCTCTTTATTCTCAAATTTACTTGGTTTTATTTTGTTGAGGTTCCAATGGAAGAACAGGAACTTCGGCTTCCTGAATTGGCGCCTTGTGGTTTGTACCAAAAAAGAATTTTTTTTTCTCTGCAATTTGTATTTTGTTTTTGGTGCAATAAAGTGTATTATTATTATTATTATTAAAATATGTCGATCTCGACGGCAATGTGAATAAAACAAAAATGATAATACAAAAGAGAGCCAATTACGCAACCTCACTAATGGTGACTCTAGATCAGTGGTTCTCAAACTATGGTACGCGAGAAGTTCTCAAGTGGCACGCAAAACAGTTTATATTTGCATTATCATTATTGTTTTTTTTTGTTCAGTGGTACTACCTGATTTTTAAAATAGCCTTAGTGGTACGCAAGGATATAAGTTTGAGAACCGCTGCTCTAGATTACATTAGCGTAGATCATTTCACCTATTTGGGCGTGGAACTAACGGCTGACGAAGCTGAAGATGGGGAAATATAGAAAAGAACTATGACTGCTAATAGGGCATATTTCTCGTTAACACGTACTTTCCAAGCTAACATTTTCAAAAGTATACCTCGAAAACCCAAAATGAGAGCCTACAACAAACAACAACAATTGCCCAATTGTTTTGTACAAACGCGAGTCTTAGACCCTGATACAAGTAAACGAAAAGAGGCTTGACATTTTTGAAAGAAAAATCTCTGTGTCCGACTAGGCGTAAAGTCAGAGACTACGGTGGGCGGGATACTTCATCAAGAAAGACCAAGGAAAAGATGGGAAGACGCTGTGGAATGCAAAGACATGGCTAGGGTGGGAAGTTGGAAGAGATCAGCTATAAATAAGGAATGGAGAGATGAACTGAAGAAGGCCTTAGATAACCGGGTTCTTCGAAATTTCTAGAATTGTAATAATTAAAAATGATGCTAAAGTTTACATTTAGTCCACATTAAGGAAACAATACCCATAACACTAGTGTTCCAAACTTATTTAAATGTGAATACCTTTAATTTTCTAATTCAAACATTTTTATTAACATTTAATGTTAATCATTAGTTTCTATCAAATATAGTTGATTATACAAATGATGGGTTTAATAATTATGTTGAGTTTTGTGGATGCTATTTAAAAGTAAATAAATTTAAATTTAACCTAAAAAAATGTTGATAGGAGATGAGTGTGAAATAGATTAAATAATAAGTCCAATTATTGATTAAAAATGATGATAAACATAATACAAGTTATGAGTCATGATTTTTTTATACAAAAGTTGTTTGACTCACTACTTTCTCTAACATAAAATTATTTTCTGTTATACAGGGTGTTGTATTTAGGCGTGATGGAAAGTATGTAAATTTTTTTATGTGGATCTCATTATAGAATACGATAGATCTTAATGCTCTTATGAAAATTAATGAAGACATTGACAAAGAAGTAGAAAAGTTCTTAAAAGTCATTCAAAACTCAGCCTGGACCTCGATATACTCAACTATGTTAAATAGTGTTCCTAGCATAATTCAAAGTGATCAGCAGAGTAATATACCATGTGTAAGAATGAAAGAACTGTATTATGAAATAAAAAGGGTAAATGTAAAGAAATCAGTAGGTTGTGACATAATTAATGGAGAAACATTGAAACATCTATCAAAACAGGCGATTACAAAACTATTACACATAATTAATGCTGCTTTTAAACAGAAATACTTCCCAAGTATATGGAAAGTTGTTGAAATAATAATGATACCAAAACCTGGTAAACCCCCCACAGGTGTTACATCATATAGGCCAATCTTATTATTACCCTTACTAATAAAACTACTTTAAAAATTACTATTAAACAGACTAAAACCTGTCATAGAAGAAAAAGCCCTAATACTAACACATCAATTTGGGTTTCTGAATAAACACGCAACAATAGACCAAGTGCATAGAATAACGAATACTATCGAAATAGAAATGGAAGAAAATAAAGTCTGCTCCGCCGTATTTTTGGATGTTGCACAAGCTTTCGACAAAGTCTGGTTAGATGGTTTAAATTACGAACTAGACCAAATACTACCATCAACGTATAGTCAACATACAATTAATTGTATCTTTCTGATTGATATTTTAGAGTAAAATACGAAAACGCTTATTCACCACTACATGAAATACAAGCTGGCGTTCCTCAAGGAAGTGTGCTTGGCCCAACACTGTACTTACTCTACACATTCGACCTTTCTCAGACACCAGAAACTTTAACAGCTACATTCGCAGATTACACAGCAACCTTGGCTGTGCAGAAAATAAGTTACAATTGGCCTTAAATTCAATAGAAAACTGGACCAAACGATGGCTAATAAAATTAAATACAAATAAATCGACAAAGAGCAGTTTAAAGCTGCTTTATGGTTGCAATAATAACAAAATTTGCGGTGTAAAATCGATTTTCTTCCGAAAATCCATTTTCGAACATATGAGACCATGTTTTAATTTTAACTTTTTGAATTTTCAAATTTATTTCTCCGTATTTAGTAAAGTCGTCATTTATCTGTAGCGATGCACAAGGCAACCGTAAAAGGCCGTCGTCAGAAGATGACAGACGTAGGTTTCGATCACCCAGTCTGCTGTATCTAGAGTTCTGAGGGAGGCTCGCCTTGAGGACAACAACGCTGTACAGCTCGTAGGAGCAATCGTAGGCTTAGCGCAGTGGACATTGGAAGTGCCAGCCATCTGTGGCGACCATCAAGAGAAGGCTGAATGCTACTGGACTCGTTGACCAGTGAAGAAACCGTTCGTGTTGGCAAGAATAGGAATGTAGGCAAGGGTGGAGTGGGCGAAGGCCATTTCAACTGGACCACACAGCAGGTCATCTGGAGCGACGAGACCAAGTTCTTGATGTTTAGATCCCAAGTACCAATAACCCACCATGAAACACGGCGGTGGAAGTGTCATGGTGTGGGGGTGCTTCAGTGCCATCGGAACAGCTCCCCTGTCCGCATTCCGGGAATAATGGACCCCTACGTGTACAGGGGCATTCTAGAGAATAACATGGGCATGCAAAAATTTGTTGGGGCTCAATTCCAACAAGACAAGGACCCGAAACATCGTTTCAGGGACGTTGCAGCGTCGACTGACTGTAAAGGACTGACCCAGCCAGTCTCCAGACCTCAATATCATCCAACCGCCTTGGGTCGTAAGCTGAAGGGCGTTTATGCCACATCCGCCGGTGAAAAGCTACGGCGGAGCGGGAGAAGATTGACTCGACCATAGACTATTTGATCAATTCCATGCCCTGTAGATGCAAGGCTGTCATCAACAGCAAGGGATATCTCACTAAGTATTAAGTTACTGTTCACATAAAAGTGTTACTGAGTACTCCAGAGTTCAGAGTTTTTAAAAATATCTTGTTTTCACTATTGTTAGATATGTCATTTTGATAAATTATTTTGTTTATACAGGGTCGCTGATATGTATGGAAACCAAGTTACGTTTTTTTTAATGGAACACCTGTATATTATTCCATATACAAAATTATTTTGTTTAGAATTTATAGATTTATGAAAACGCAACTTGGTTTCGTCATAACTTTTTGACTGACCCTGTATACTTAATTTGTCTTTATTGTAATGGATTTAAAAAACCACTAAAACTTTTGTATCATAAGGTTTTTCGCTAGCTATCTTACTTTAGGAGATAACCGACTGTTTCCATACATATTAGCGATCCTGTATAGTGGTATAACTGGTGTATGTTTGATGTTCCAAACATGTTTGAAACATGTGAAATATCTTACGAAATACTTTATGAAAATTTTACATCAAAAAGTTAAATAGGAAAAAAGTTACATACATAAAACAAAAATATGATACACATTTGAGTGGTACTGTAGTTCCTGAGATAGGATTTATTGACCCTGTGAGTTAGCAACATATTGGGTTGGATAAACAAATTTGGTGGATTTAACATTTCTTTTTTTCTCAAAAGATTCAGTAATTATTAACCACTGGGATGCTAATAACTTACCCTGTATAGAACCATTTAAAAATCAATTCAAAACATTAAAAATTAAATTAAAAAGTTATTGAGCCAACAAATTAAAAGTAAAAAAATTAATTACTTAGTATAAACTTAAACTATAAAAAGTTCATACCCATTGCATTAAAGTTATTTTATGATAATTTCTCTCAATATTACTTATCAAAAACAACAAAATGACTCACATTACTTACATTTAAATTAAAAAAATAGATAAATAGACAAAGCTATTTGTTTCAACTTACCTCATTATTTATATCAAAAACACCTTCCTGAATTTTCTCATAAATCTCCTTAGCAGTATTTATAAAAGCTTCCTCTACGTTAGCAGCTGTCTTGGCAGAAGTTTCCATAAATACCAACCCATGTTCTCTGGCAAAAGCTTCACCTTCTTCTTTCCTCACTTCTCTTCGGCTCTCCAAATCACTATACATAATAAAATCAGTACACAAACTAAAATTTAACCAAATAAATAAAACCTTTTATTTCCAATCAACATTATAACCATATTAGAATTGGAATGTTGTCTTGCATCATCTAACCATGTGGTCAAATGGTTAAATGTTTCTCTTCGAGTAATATCATAGACCAAAAGTGCCCCGGCTGCTCCTCTATAATATGATCGAGTGATTGATCTAAACGCTTCTTGTCCAGCAGTATCCCAAATTTGCAATTTAATTTGTTTTCCATCAATTGTAATCATCCGGGCGCCAAATTCAACCCCAATAGTTAAATCATGAACAGGTTGAAAACGTTTGTCTGTGAACTGCAGTAACAGACATGATTTGCCCACACCTACACAAAATCAAAAGTTATATCAACGTATAATAAAAAAGGGAATACATGTTCAAGTATCAAATAAATAAAGGGGGGCGATAACGGCTAAGCATTGTTAACACTATTATGCGTTGTTAAACAAAGGTTCTAATTAAATGGAAAAATGAGGATAAAATAGATGTTTGCATAATTTATAAGTAGCGTTTTTTTACGGAAACTTACCAGTATCTCCTATAATGATGTATTTGAAGAGGTACGCGTACGACATCCTCACTAACAATTAATTGATTACTATAAATAAACAGGTGTAGTTTGCACTCTTTTTTAGCTGTCGTCAAATCTATAAACCCGACTAGACACTGACAGATGTCGAACGTCACACAACAAAACTGCGCAGAAACAACCTGCTATGTATAGTCCATTTAAAATAACAAGATTTTATTAATGATATTTTTCGACAAAAAATGCGCATATTCTTTTAATTTCAACGCATTAAATTATTGCAAATAATTACTTTGTTCAAAGTTGTTATAACAGCAAAATTTAGCAAATTATGATATAAAAGAACTTTGAAAAATATTAAAGAGAGAAATCAGTTTCATATGGTTTTACTGTATATTGTATGATGATGAATTTATTTTTTTAGATTATTTTTGATTATGAATCATTATTGAATAAAACTAATAATGTAGAAATATTCGTTTTATGATTAAAAAAAAGGTTTTCTATTACCATAGGACAATAAAATATTAATATTTCATGAAAAAGATATGGTATTCACAAGTCACTGCAGATTGTGTTGCCTACTCAATAATAAAGATAACGTATGTTTAGTTGCCAACAAATTATCAATTTAATTAAATTTAATTTATGAAAAATAGACATAAATAGATAGACATAAATAATATTGTATAGTATAAATAGAGATAAATATTGTAATATAACACCCAACATTGATGTATACCAGGTTGTCTTATTTAATAATAATAATAATTTTTTATTGACAATCCTACAAACAATACAGAATTTATACAAATAAAATAATAATAATACCAAAACAAACACTAATGCTAATGATTGCCAAAAAGAGTAGAGTCAATATGTACCCACGCAATGTGGATACCAAGATACTCATAGCTAGACCAACAAGAGAGCTATTCAGCAAGGCGAGAAGGGAGGCGAACAAGATGGAAGAAACGAGAATACTAGAACAACCGAATAATGAACATGGAAAGTGACTTTAAAGCCAATAATGCTAGGAGTGCGTATAAGTTTGTTAAACGGTTGAGATAAGGATATAAACCCCACACAGCTCTATGCAGAGACGAAACAGGGAACTGTGAGCTATGAGAGTGAGGTAAAAAAAACACGTGGAAAAATTACTTCCAGAACCTACTACAACTAACCAAGAAGAGGAGAGGACCACGGAGCCCATATCCATCGCTGAGGTTCAAGACGCAATTGTGGTGCTTAAAAATGGACATTGATTTTGCATCACCAAGCAAAATTTAGAAAGGGAAGATCCTCCATAGACCAAATATTTACCGTTATGCAGATACTAAATAAAGCACGAGAATATGATGTCGACATGATTAACTTCCTACAATATCAATATCTAACCCAAAAAATGCATTTTCGGTGTTAAATCATTGGATTTTCTTAGTTATCATGTTTCAGCCGATGGCATTTGACCATCCCAATCAAGAATAACAGCCATAACTCTAAAAGAGTTACAAAGATTTTTGGGAATGTTAAACTTCTACCATAGATTTTTACCTAACATTTCAAATATTCTTGATCCCTTATACACACTTTCAAAATCACTTCACTATCAAAAACAAAAAACAATTTCATCAACTTCTTGGACACTGCAACACGACAACGCTTTTTCTTCAGCCAAAGATCTATCAAAATCTATCTTTCTAGGACATCCCTCTTCACATGCTACCCTATCATTGTCAACTGATGCATCTAACACAGGTATGGGAGCTGTTTTAACACAAACCATCAATGGAAAATCTTAACCATTAGCATTCTTTTCCAAAAAATTTACTTCATGCCAAACCAAATACATATTCAACTTTTGATGGAGAACTATTAGCGATCTACTCTGCTATCAAATTTTTCAAACATTCGTTACATGGAAATCAATTTACGATATATACAGATCACAAACCCATTGTCACATCAATTTTTTCGTCCACAGACAAAAGTCCTTGTCAAACCCGATATCTAAGTTATATTGCACAATTTACTTCAGATATCAAATACATTAGAGGAAATTCAAATGTTGTTGCGGATACTCTATCCAGAACAAACATCAGATCTCTAAATTCATCTTATTCAGACTTTTTAATCCTTAGCAACGCTCAACTTGCTGACACAGAATTGTTAAACTTATTGAATAAGCAATTTCCCAACAATCCTTCAAAATCTTATCATTTGGCATATCAAACAACATCACAATCTGATATCAAACTGTGGTGTGAAATCTCTTCATCATCTCCAAGAATTTATATTCCGCAACAGTTCAGACAAGCAATTTTTGGCAAAATTCATAGCTTATCTCATCCCGGAATACGTTCCACCATTCATGCAATCAAAACAACATTGGCCACACATGTCAAAGCAAATTCATGTTTAGACCAAAACCTGCTTAAAATGTCAACAAGCAAAAATCCAAAAACATACAAAATCGTCAATCATCATCAAGATTCCTAAAATTAGATTTGATCATATACATATCGACTTGATTGGACCACTCACTCCGACCTTAGGTTGTACTTATGTACTTACAGTTATCGAACGCTTCACTCGATAGCTAGAAGCTTTTCCGCTGAAAGATATCACATCTTCTACTATAGCGAACACACCTTCCGGCATTATTTTAGTCGATTTGGTATACCTACCACAATAACACATGATCAGGGACGGCAATTCAAATCAAACCTCTTTTCAAAATTTAACACATTACTTGGCACACGACAAATATACACATCATTTTTCCATCCTCAAGCAAACTACTCAAAAAGCTTTTTACGTTGTAATTAAATAACGGGAATATGAAATGGGATAAATGATTATTATTGTAAATTAGTGAAAGGTAATTCTAAATTATGGAGTTTAGGCAGAAATAAAAATTCGGAAAAAGATAAAATGAGGAATAAATTTGAGAAATAAAAAGAACAGATGGCAACTTACGTTCATCGTCAAAAGTGGTTTATATATGTAAAACTAAAAAACCGGAAAATGTGAAAAGAAATCTTAAAATTATTAAAATAAAAGAAAAATGTTCTTCATGGAACGAAAACTGGAAGAGAAACAAAGAAAATCAACAATTAAGAAAAGAAAAAATGGGGGTGAAACTTACCAAGAAACATAAAATGTTTCATTTTTAGAATTTTTATTATCTTTTTATGAACTTAGAATCAATCCTAGCCAAAAAAAGAAAAATCATTTAAGGAAGATCTAGGTTGCGCCTCAGCAGAACTGCTTTACGGGCAACCACTAAGACTTCCTGGAGAGTTCTTCATACCTATTAATCCATCTATTGACTATGAGCCCAGAATTGATCCTTGTGGGACACCAAATATAATACTCTACACACTGCATTCTATTGTTAAGATAACTACGAATCATTTGATTTGGGTAGTATAAGAGGTTTATTATACCATAATGCTCCTGTTTATTCAACAGAATTTCATGTTGGGCGCAATCAAAAGCCTTTGACAAGTCACAACATAATAATTTAACATCCTCCTTCTCGTCAAACGCACGTGCCACAGCATCAACCAAGCTAGTTAGAGCTGAAGTGGTAGACTTTTGTCCCGGTAACCATGCTGAGCTTCATTAAATAATTTGTTATTTTCCATATACTCAATAAATCTGCTTTTTAATAGAGATTCGAAGATTTTTGAAAAAATAGGAAGTATAGAAATAGGTCTCTAGTTTTTATAATTCATCTGGACTATCCGATTTGAAAACACGTCAATAACATTCTTAATAAGGTAGGTTGAGACATTATACATGTCAGCGGTTTTCTTATTTGGTAGGGAAAGGACCGTCTGAAGAACCTCATGTTCAGCAGTAGGCTTTAAGAAGAAGGAGGACTGTCGACTTCTGTTTAACATTCTGGAGACAAGTACACTGGGATTTAGATTAGGACCAGTGATAGTTTCGACTGAATTTACTTCAATCTTGGAGAAATAACTATTGAAATTCTGAGCATCTAAACTGGAAAAGTAATTACTGTTGTTTTCTTTCTTTGCTTTTAGCTCTTTGTTTATCAACTGCCATATAGCCTTTTGCTTATTGGTCGCAGTATTGATGACTGCGACAACATGTTTTTGTTTTTCAGTCATGACCGCCGAACTATATTCTCTTTTAGTATTATTGTAAAGATCATTCACTTGAGCGTTCTTCGTTACTCTATTGATAGTATATAACACATCCAAACGTTTCTTAATTTCTTCAAGTTGTGGGAATTATCGTAAGAATGTAGGGAAAGGCCGACATAAAACATTCCATAAAGTGGTTATGAAAGAACGAGTATTGCCGGTGTGGAAGCAGCAATGCCATTTCACACTAATGTATGCCCTCCAAGAGTTGTCGGAATTAGTAAATATTAGCAGCATTAATTTTTCTTATAGTAATATATTGTTTTTGCTTAGTTTCTGATACATCCAGCAGAGTGAATATTTGGGCCAAATGGTCTGATAGATGCGGCCGAGTTGTTTCTGTATTATAATCCGTTATGAGAGAATTGATAAAAAATTGATCAATACATCTACTGCACCTTGTTGTTCTTCGGCATTTGTAATAAGATTTTTAGCTTAGTTTTAAGTTGTTTACACATGTGTTTAGAGTTATTCGTCTGTAATTTCCTAGGCTTGTTTTTTCGTCTTTTTTGAGTATAGAGTTTGTAATACTGATAAGATTAACTATAACCATTGGTATTTCTAACTGACATGGCAGTCCGTTAAATTGCCAGATCAGCTTTTTTGTTAGTTCTGGTTCTTCATATATGAGCAATCCATTAGGTATATTGACAGTTCCTGGATTTCCTGTTCTTTCGCTCTAAAAGTTTTTCTTTGGCTTCGTCTATCAAAATAATAGTTCTTGTTTTGATAACACATTTGTCCGTACATACTTGTTCAGTGGCTTCTTTCCATATGGGAGCATTTTCAAACCTTTCATTGAGCTTCGTACAGGTCATAGCCAGATTTCTAATCTTTTTGCAAAAATAGAGTTTGTTGTTGAAACCCATTTTTTTTTTTTTGCTGCCCTGTGGATACATTTTTGAATGTTCTGCCAGGTTACCTCCACTTACGGCTCTTTTCCAGGTTACTTGTAGATGTTGTTTAATTTTGTTTTTATTCTGTTTTCGTATAGAT